GCATTGAAAGGTGGGGCCTTTGGGCTAAGTGGATTCGATGGTGAGGGTCCTGCCCTCATGAGTAGATTAATGAGTGGTCATGGGAGTGGGCCTGGTGGCTTTATAAGAACAGAGACCTGGCCGGGCGCGGTGGCTCACGCCTGTAATCCCAGCACTTTGGGAGGCTGAGGCGGGTGGATCACGAGGTCAAGAGATCGAGACCATCCTGGTCAACATGGTGAAACCCCGTCTCTACTAAAAATATAAAAAAAAAATTAGCTGGGCACGGTGGCGCGTGCCTGTAATCCCAGCTACTCGGGAGGCTGAGGCAGGAGAATTGCCTGAGCCCAGGAGGCGGAGGTTGCGGTGAGCCGAGGTCGCGCCATTCCACTCCAGCCTGGGTAACAAGAGTGAAACTTCATCTCAAAAAAAAAAAAAAAAATACAAAATTAGCCAGGTGTGGTGGCGTGTACCTGTAATCCCAGCTACTTGGAGGCTGAGGCAGGAGAATGGCTTGCACCTGGAAGGCAGAGGTTGCAGTGAGCTGAGACCATGCCACTGCAGTCCAGCCTGGACCACAAGAATGAAACTCTGTCAAGAAGGGAAGGGGAAGGGGAACAGGGGAAAGGAAGAAAGAGAAAGAAAGAAAGAGGGAGGGAGGGAAGGAAAGAGAAGGAAGGAAGGAAAGAAGGAACAAACGAAGGAAGGAAAGAAGAAAGAAAGAAAACACACATGGCAGCCCAGCACAGTGGCTCACACTTGTAATCCCAGCACTTTGGGAGGCCAATGTGGGTAGATCACGAGGTCAGGAGTTCCAGACCAGCCTGAACAATATGGTGAAACCCCGTCTCTACTAAAAATACAAAAATTAGCCGGGCGTGGTGGTATGTGCCTGTAATCCTAGCTATTCAGGAGACTGAGGCAGGAGAATCGCTTGGACCCAGGAGACAGAGGTTGCGGCAAGCCAAGATCGCACCACTGCACTCCAGCCTGGGCAACAGAGTAAGACTCCATCTTAAAAGAAAGAAAATACACATGCCCTATGATCCGGCAACTTGGCTCCTAGGTATGTACGTACAAAATAGAATTTCAGGCATGTGGGCACCAAGTGACATGTAGAGGAATGTTTACTGCAGCGTGATGAACTCAAGAACACGAAGTTGCAGCCCCAGTGCAATGAATGAACTGTGGTGTATTCATGCAAGGAAATATTAATGGAGGCAGCGATGAAGACGAACACCCATACCGTGGCTGGTAAGTCTGATAAGCACGAGAGAGTAAAAGAAGACAGGCATTCAGCGTGCAGATGGGTGATTAAAAAACATTTTTTAAAGTCCAGGTGCAGTGGCTCATGCTTATAATCCCAGCACCTAGGGAGGCCAAGGCGGGTGAATCACCTCCTGATATCAGAAGTTCAAGACCAGTGTTGCCAACATGGTGAAACCCCATCTCTAGTAAAAATACAAAAATCGGCCGGGCGAGGTGGCTGAGGTGGGAGGACCATGAGATCAGGAGTTTGAGACCAGCCTGGCCAACATTGTGAAACCCCGTCTCTACTAAAAACACAAAAATTAGCCGGGCATGGTGGTGGGCACCTATAGTCCCAGCTATTCGGGAGGCTGAGGCAGGAGAATCGCTTGAACTTGGGAGGCAGAGGTTGCAATGAACCAAGATTGTGCCATTGCCCTCCAGCCTGGGCGATAGAGTGAGACTCCATCTGAAAAAAAAAACATACAAAAATTAGCCAGGCATGGTGGTATGTGCCTGTAATCCCAGCTACTCGGGAGGCTGAGGCAGGAGAATCACTTGAACCTGGGAGGCAGAGGTTGCAGTGAGCCAAGATCACACCACTGCACTCCAGCCTGGGTGACAGAGCAGACTCTGTCTCATCAATAAATAAAAAATAACATTTCATACGACAGTGGCTCACACCTGTAATCCAAGCACTTTGGGAGACCAAGGCAGGAGGATCACTTGAGCCCAGGAGTTCGGGACAAGCCTGAGCATCACAGCGAAACACCATCTCTACAAAAAATAAAAGAATGAGCTGGGCATGGTGGCATGTGCCTGTGATCCCAGCTACTTGGGAGGCTGAGGCAGGAGGATCCCCTAAGCCTGGGAGGTCGAGGCCGCAATGAGCTATGATCGTATCACTGCACTCCAGCCTGGGCAACAGAGCAAGACCCTGTTTCAAAAGAAACAAACAAACAAAACCGAGACAGATACAAATGGGAGCATACTGTATTGTTTCATTTATATAAAGGTCAAAAGCAGGCAAATCAACCAAAGTGCTTGCAGATGCATATCTGAGTAGTGAAAAACGTACTGAAAAGCAAGAAGTCAGGTGGAGGTTACCTTTGGGGAGGATTGGAGTGCTAGTACTTTATAATAACTCCTTAAACTGACTGGGTGCGGTGGCTCACGCCTGTAATCTCAACACTTTGGGAGGCCAAGACAGGAGGATCCCAAGGTCAAGATAGAGAGAACATCCTGGCAGAAACAGTGAAACCCCGTCTCTACTAAAAATACAAAAATTAGCCTGGTGGTGGGCATCTGTCGTCCCAACTACTCAGGAGGCTGAGGCAGGAGAATCCCGTGATTCTAGGAGGCGGAAGTTGCAGTGAGCCGAGATCGCGCCACTGCTCTCCTGGTGACAGAGCAAGACTTGTCCCAAAAACAAAAACAAACGATTCATTGAATTATAATGTACTTCTTGTGCTACATTTCACAACGGAAAAATGGAAAAAAGTGCTTGCCCATAACGATACTTTGCAGGGTCTAGAAGTCTTAGATTCAATTCCTCTCCTTGTGGGGGCCAAGGATGGGAAGGGCAGGTGGTTCCAGGAGACAAAGAGGAGGCTCTGGAGCCTTAAAGCATAGGCATCAGCTAGTCTGGAAACAGTTTCAACATGGTGAGACTCTGTCTCCAACTCTGCTTCTCTCCTCTGTTAGGGAGAAGAGCAGCGCTGCAGTGCCTTCTGGTCCCAGGTCCTCACACTGCAGCTAGAGGGATTCTCCCAGGCACTGAGACCCCTTCACGTGACCAAATGCTCTCCGTGCTCGGCCTCTAGACCTGCCTTCCTGCTCAGTGTCTCTCCCTCCACCTGGTCCTCAGCCTCCTCCATCACTCTGTCTTCTCTGCCAGTCTATTCATCTGTCTCTAGCTCTCTCTCTCTGCTGCCTTCTCTTCTATCAAGGCACAGATTCACACCCCTTCCTCACGGACCCATGTGCTCAAAGTGGCCCTAGGTGCCAGGATGAGATGGACTAGGAGTGACGAGTGTCCTTCTGAACCAAGCAACAGCAAAGGGTGACCAGGGAGGGCCAGTTCATCTCAGTCTGGAAGAAGTCCCAGGTGAGGAAAGAACATGCTGGCCCCACGGTCGGCAGCAGCACCTCCTAGGACAGGGAGCAAGCCAGGCGTGAGACCGGAGTGGGTAGGCACACCCCTGGGAGAGGAGCAGCTGTGAAATGTGCACAAGGAACGGACCAGCAAGGAGGACCGGGCAGTGCTGGAAGGGACTTCCTGGAAGCCTGGAAGGAGAGTCTCCCATCAGCTAAGCCCAGAGGGCATCAAAGGTTGCTGTTGCCCTCAACCCCTGCCAATCTCATCATCTCACATCTCAGCCATGGAAGAATGAGTTCCCTTACACGAGTAAAACATCGAGTACAGTGTCTGGCATGCAGAAGGTGCTCAATACTTGCTTTCTAATTCAGAGGGCTTATCTAAGACACACAATTTTCTCTAAGACAAATTCAACTGGAAGTCTGTGATTGGCCAGGCACAGTGATTCATGCTTGTGATCCCACACTTTGGGAAGCTGAGGTGGGCAGATCACTTGAAGTCAGGAGTTCAAGAGCAGCCTGGCAAACAAGGTGAAACTCTCTACTAAAATTACACAAATCAGCCAGGTATGGTGGCATGCTCCTGTAATTCCAGCTACTCAGGAGGTTGAGACAGGAGAATCGCTTGAACCCAGGAGTCAGAAGTTGCAGTGAGCTGAGATTGTGCCACTGCACTCCAACCTGGGCAACAGAGCCAGCCGGACTCCATTAAAAAGAGAAAGAAAAAAAGAAAAAGGGAAAAAAAATGCCTGTGGTCCAAGCTCTCATAACAGGGAAAACAAGACAACACAAACCTCTCCTTACAGAAAATATTTGCCTTTGATTGCATCAAAATTCTAGCAGGATTTTGAGCAGATAACTCTTTAGCTAGCTCTAAAATTCATACAGATAAGTGAAGAGGCCGGGCGCAGTGGCTCACACCTGTAACCCCAACACTTTGGGAGGCCAAGGCGGGTGGATCACGAGGTCAAGAGATCGAGACCATCCTGCTCAACATGGTGAAACCCCGTCTCTACTAAAAATACAAAAATTAGCTGGGCATGGTGGCGCATGCCTGTAATCCCAGCTACTCAGGAGGCTGAGGCAGGAGAATCTCTGGAAACCGGGAGACAGAAGTTGCAGTCAACCGAGATCTTGCCACTGCACTCTAGCCTGGGCAACGGAGTGAGACTCCAGGTCAAAATAAATTAATAAAAAGAGAAAAAAAATCATCATAGAGCTATACTAATCAAGACAGTGTGATTCTGGTAAAGATAGACACATAGATCAATGAAGCAGAATAGAGTCTGGAAATTGACCCACAAACCTATGCCCCATTCATTTTTTATATAATAAGTGTGAGAAGCCAACTGAACAGAAAGAGTATAACCTTTTCAACAAATAGTACTAGAGCAATTGGACATCCGTAGGTAAAAATACAAGCAAAGAGAAGAACCTGGACCTGCCCTTCACACCTTAGGCAAACATCATCTCAAAATGCATTGTATGGCTCAATATAAACACAAACTACACAACTTTAGGAGAAAACATAGGTGAAAATCTTTGAGTTCTATGGTTAGGCAGAGAGTTCCTAGGCATGGCACTAAGTAAGATTCATTTAACATTTTTTGATAAACTGGACTTCATTAAAACTTTTGCTGGCTGGATGTGGTGGCTCATGCCTGTAATCCCAGCACTTTGGGAGGCCGAGGCAGGTGGATCACGAGGTCAGAAGTTCAAGACCAGCCTGGCCAAGATGGTGAAACCCTGTCTCTATTAAAAATACAAAAAATAGCCGGGTACAGTGGCAGGCAATGTAATCCCAGCTACTCGGGAGGCTGAGGTGGAAGAATGGCTTGAAACAGGGAGTCAGAGGTTTCAGTGAGCTGAGATTGTGCCATTGCACTCCAGCCTGGGCAACAAAGCAAGATTCTATCTAAAAAAAATTAGAAGGAATATTTGCCTCATTACATTCCCATAACTAATGTGGAAAGCAATATCGCACTCCCTATTAGCACATGATACTAGATGCATTCAACTTTCTCCCTGGACCTGCTGCCTCCGCCTGCTGGTCAGGGGATAGACTCAGTACATCTCCCCTCAGGGCCAGGTGGACGGAACTCTTGCTTTCTTGGAGGAAACCCAGGAATCACAGAGACAGAGGGGAAGGGGACGGACTGCCGTGTGGCTGGGCAGGGCTGCTTGAGGAACATGTTAGCAAACCACAGGCACGTTCCCAGGAGGCTGCTTGCTGAGCCCTGCTCCTCTGGTCTCCCCCAAGTGGTCATTCTGAAATGGATAAGGACGGTGCAGGACTGGACTGCAAATGCAGGACTGACCTCCTGGGAGGGTGGGGCCCCTATCTCTCCTAGAGTCTGGTCAGACTCTGCCCAACACCCCCTCTAAGGCCACAGGAGAGGAGCAGGAATGATAGCCCCCAAAACCCAGTCCCACCGAGCCCTGAGGGGCCCTTTGTCACTCCATCTGATAAGAAACCCCACCCCTGCAGCCCCCTCCCCTCACCTGACCAATGGCCACAGCCTGGCTGGGCCCAGCTCCCTGCATATAAGGGGACCCGGGGGCTGAGCACCACCAAGGCCAGTCCTGAGCAGGCCCGACAGCAGTGCAGCCGCCCACCCTGCCGCCATGTCTCTGACCAAGACTGAGAGGACCATCATTGTGTCCATGTGGGCCAAGATCTCCACGCAGGCCGACACCATCGGCACCGAGACTCTGGAGAGGTGAGTGTCACACAGGGGACTGCCAAGAGGGACCGGAGGGAGGCCAGGCCTGTGAGTGGGACAGTGAGGAGGGGACCCTGGGGGGGGGCGTGGGAAGGGAATAGTGTGGAGGGGACAGTGCAGAGGGGACAGTGAAGAAGGGACATTGGGGAGGGGACAGTGGGACAGATAGCCTTCCCTGTCAGTGAGGAGGGCAGGGTGAAGACGGTAGGATTAGGAATCGCACAGGCATCTGGGCTGGCTGAGGCCTGGGGCACAGGCCCAGGTTCTGAGGAGCCGAGGGTGAAAAATCTCACTCTAGGTACAGCCTCTAAAGTCCCAGCATCTGAACCCCTGGGAGGGGCCAGGGAGCTTTTCCTTCCCTGGAACACTGCTGGGAGGTCAGGAGCCTGCAGAAGGGGTGGCGGGTGACCCGGTCCAGGGCTGGCAAGGAGGCCCTGTGACCAGAGGAGAGGGTGGAGCGCCGGAGGCCCCACCAGGCGGAGGGCGGTGGATTTGGGGACCAGGCCGCACAGAACCCGTGGGAAGCAGCGACCAGCCGGGAGCCGCAGCGGCCTCGGGGTCTCCGGCTCAGGGCAGCCTCGGAGGGGCAGCTGCCTGGGCACGTGGGCACCGCGAGGAGGGGCTGGGGCCTGCTGCGGGGTCGCCGTCGGGTCCTGGAGCTCGGAGAGGGCCGCAGGGCGCGTGGGCCGTGGCGGGAGGCGGCGCTGCCGGGAACTCACGACGCCCGCCCCGCGCGCCAGGCTCTTCCTCAGCTACCCGCAGACCAAGACCTACTTCCCGCACTTCGACCTGCACCCGGGGTCGGCGCAGCTGCGCGCGCACGGCTCCAAGGTGGTGGCCGCCGTGGGCGACGCGGCGAAGAGCATCGACAACATCGGGGCCGCCCTGTCCAAGCTGAGCGAGCTGCACGCCTACATCCTGCGCGTGGACCCGGTCAACTTCAAGGTGCGCGGGGCGGGGCGGGGCGGGGCTGGGGCGGGGCGGGGCGGGGCTGGATGGAGGCGGGGTTTGGGGCGGGGCCCGCTCCAGGCCCCACCCCTCACAGAGCGGCCCCGCCCCCAGCTCCTGTCCCACTGTCTGCTGGTCACCCTGGCCGCGCGCTTCCCCGCCGACTTCACCGCCGAGGCCCACGCCGCCTGGGACAAGTTCCTGTCGGTCGTATCCTCTGTCCTGACCGAGAAGTACCGCTGAGCGCCGCCTCCGCGACCGCCAGGACCGGCTGTGTCCCCTCCCCTGTCCTTCACCCTCCTGCAGTTCCTCCCCTGACTCCAATAAACGGATGAGGAAGGACCGACCTGGGCTGTGTGTTCTCAGTTTTGGAGGGAAGGAGGGGAGAAGCTGAGTGACGGGTCCGGGGGGTTTCGCAGGAACTCGGTCATCCCCGCCGTCTTCGCGGCCTAGAGGTCATCTGGGGGTGGGTGCTGTGGGGAGGTTCTCGCCCCGGAGCACCGGAGCTGCAGCCCGGGAGGAGCCCCGCAGTCCCGGGCCGGCCCACGGCGTCTCCTGGGGTTCTCGGGTCCGACGGGCGTTTGTGCGTCTCGAGGCTTCTCAAATCGCCCCAAGATTGGCACTTCACTTAGCGTGTCGGGAGTGCGTGGGAACTCAGGGAACTTTTCCGCAAAGCCACATGCCCTAATCCCGGGACTCCGGCAGCTGCGGGGGTCCCTGAGGCTGGCCCCTCCCTACCCGACTCCTAAGAGAATGGGGGGATTCCTGCCCCGTGCTCACTCTCGGGTTCCTCCTGCATAGCAGTAACTTTGCCCGAGGGGAGTAATTACAGACGCCCCTAAAGACTGCAGGAAAGGTGCACACGTACAGCAGCATGAGTCAGTGCCAGAAACCCTGGGATCCAGGAGGGCGAGGCCTCCACGTCGGCGGGAACCCGGGCTGGCTACGTTCCTCCGCATGGGCCCAGGGTCCCCGCGTTCCCGCCGCACTCGGGCCGATAAGGACGGGCGGGGTGCCTGGAGGCCCTATAAGGAAGTCAGGGCGGCGGGCCCGGCCCCCAGAACTAGTCAGGCGGCGCCATGCTCAGCGCCCAGGAGCGCGCCCAAATCACGCAGGTCTGGGACCTGATCGCGGGACACGAGGCGCAATTTGGGGCGGAGCTGCTCCTCAGGTGGGTAAAGGCGGGGTCACCGGGAAGGTGCAGATGAGGGTGTTGGGCACGTGGGCCCCGAAGCCCATTCAAGATCCCTCGGGTGAGGATCCCTGAGGCCCTGGGCGGTGCGGGCGCTCTTGACACCCCACGCAGCCGTCCTCCCCAGTAACCGACCTGGTCTTGCAGGCTCTTCACGGTGTACCCCAGCACCAAGGGCTACTTCCCGCACCTGAGTGCCTGTCAGGACGCGACGCAGCTGCTGAGCCACGGGCAGCGCATGCTGGCAGCGGTGGGCGCAGCGGTGCAGCACATGGACGACCTGCGTGCCGCGCTAAGCCCGCTGGCGGACCTGCACGCGCTCGTGCTGCGCGTGGACCCAGCCAACTTTCCGGTGAGCCCTCTCCGGCCGGGGCAATGGTGCAGAGCGAAGCCGGGGATGGGGGGGGCTCTGGGGGTCCTGGCGGGACAGACCCCGTCTCACTTGCCCCTTCTCCCGCAGCTGCTAATCCAGTGTTTCCAGGTCGTGCTGGCCTCCCACCTGCAGGACGAGTTCACCGTGGAAATGCAGGCAGCGTGGGACAAGTTCCTGACTGGTGTGGCCGTGGTGTTGACCGAAAAGTACCGCTGAGTCCTGCGCGGTGCAGGCCTTGGTCTCCGCCTTTCAATAAACAGACGTCCCAAACATCTGGCTATGCCTGTGTGGTCTTTGGGGACCTGGTAAAGTGAGGTCACTGTTGCTGGGCAGGGAAGCTCGAGGACCTACAGGAGCCTCCTGGCTATGCCTGTGTGGTCTTTGGGGACCTGGTAAAGTGAGGTCACTGTTGCTGGGCAGGGAAGCTCGAGGACCTACAGGAGCCTCCTGGCTATGCCTGTGTGGTCTTTGGGGACCTGGTAAAGTGAGGTCACTGTTGCTGGGCGGGGAAGCTCGAGGACCTACAGGAGCCTCCTAGAACTCTCAAATGCCACCCACCCCCAACACCATCACGCAGAAGTTTGTCCTCCCACGGCGGGAGTGCAGTGGGGCAGAGGGAACATTGTGATGTGTGTGGGAGGAGCCACATAAGGGAGGGTCTTCGATTTCAACTCTCGATTCCGGCTTCCCACCATACTGTTCGCAAAGCACTTCCCCATTCACACATTCATTCATTCATTCATGCATTCTCTCTCCATCCCCACTTCCTGCTGGGACCTGCATATGCTAATCCTGGCCCCTTTTTGCAAAGAGATGCAGAAACTGAGGTCCCAGAGCCAAATGTGCAGCCTAATTAGGGCCAACCAGAGTTTGCCCCGAACAGAGGGCTCTGGAGACCTCACTGTTCCTTTCCCTTTCCTTCCCCCAAGGACACTTCCTCGGTTGCAAACCTATGCTAGGCTGGTTAGGCCTCACAGTGACCCTCCAGCCATAGGGGTGAGGTGGAGAGGAAGTCCCCATTGGCCACAATTTGGCAGACAGAGCAGGTTAAGGTTTGCAGCCTTCTCATTGACAAGGTGTACGACCCTGGGCATGTCCCAGAGCTCTCTGGCCTTTACCCACCAAACAGAAAAACAACGCCCAACTCACGAGATCTTTGAAACAGTTTTTGAAAACATAACACAGGGTGAGTGCCTGCAGGCTCGTTGCCACCCCTCCCCTCCACCCAGCCCCAGCTGCCTGGTCTCAGTCTCTGCAGGTGCCCAGGCCAAGGCACTCCTTCCCCAGGTTCCCTCTTCCCCCTCCCCAGGACAGGGAAGGTAATCTTAGGGCTCCACCCCAGGCTTTTCAGACAAAGAACTGGGGCTGAGGAAAGAGTGGGACCCTGGAGGTGCCCACATCCTGAATAGGGTTGGCTCTGGGTTGGCAATCCTGGTTCTGTGTGGGGAGCGCTGAACCAGGCCTGGCAACCAGGTCCAACCTGGTAGTCAGCCCCTAGATCTGAAGAGAGATGCTGGAAGCTGAGCCCGGACGGTGAGTCAGCCAAACTCACCCCAGCAGTCACTGCCAGGGACCTGTTACCCTGCACAGCCTGGGAACTTCAGCTTGGTAGTTTGGGGAACTTGACCCCGTGTTATCCACATCCCCTAACTGGGTTTTTGTGTTGTTTTGTTTTGTTTGGGAAGCTGAGGTGGGCCTGCTCCAGAGAAGTGGTAAACCAGCCCCTACCCTGGAAGGTGCCAGGACTGCAGGCACTGGCTCAGGAGCTGGGGAGGAGACGGGGCATCCAGGGCTCCTCTCAGGGAGTCCTAGCATGACCACCCTCCTTTGAAATCTCCCTGATTGAACCCAGTTAAACAAACACTCTACACCAAAGCAAAACCCAGAGGAACAAACCAGCAAAACAGGCTGTTCCCATGCAGGGGCAGATGCCAGAACATTTCTCTCATTCCCACCCCCTCCTGCCAAAGAGTAGGTGGCTGGAGTGAGGGTGCGGGCCCCACCCATGCTTCCTCTGTCCTGGTTATCCTCTGAGAGCAGCCCAGTCAGCCGGGAAGGAGGAAGGGGCTGCGACGCTCACAGCCTGTGGCCTGCACCTGGGGAGACTCTTCAGCAGGGCACCTTGCGGCCTTGCTCCTGTGCTTCTCCTGCACTTCCTATGGTGCATTCAGAGCTCACCGTGTGCCCAGCCCCGAGCCCCCAGCTCACTGCCCCACCCTCCACTTCCCCAGGTCCAGAGGCCTTTGGGATCTCCTAGGGCTTCTGCTTCCTGTGCTGGAGCCAGTGAAGGAAACGCCCCTGTCCGCGGTGCTGAAGTCCTGGAATCCATGCGAGGATGTTGCACAGCCCATGGGCTCTCAGCCAGACTAGGAACATGACCAGCACTCCCAGCCCAGCCCCTGCCCAGAGCAAGCCTCCCCCTCCACACTCACAGTACTGCATCAAGCTTTGGGGAGGGGGAGAGGGGCCGGTCACCGCTTTTCTTCTGGACAGGGACCCCTCTGAATTGCTGGGGAGTTCCCTCCCCATCTCCACCATTCAGTCTTCCTCTGCCACACAGCCAAGAGCACTCCAGCCCCTTCCTCCTTCCTGACTGACTGGGCTGCTCTCTCAGAGAGTTACTATGCTCTGGGCATAGAAAAACACTTAAAAAAATAAACTAGGGCCAGGCTCGGTGATTCATGCTGGTAATCCTAGCTCTTGGGAGGCCAAGGTGGGCAGATCAGGAGGTGAAGAATTCAACACCAGCCTGGCCAATAGTTCTTTTCTTGCTTGCTTTTCTTTTTCTTTTCTTTTTTTTTTTTTTTTTTTTTTGAGATGGAGTCTTGCTCTGTTGCCCAGGCTGGAGTGCAATGACTCCATCTCTGCTCACTGCAACCTCTGCCTCTCAGGTTCAAGCCACTTTCCTGCCTCAGCCTCCTGAGTAGCTGGGGTTACAGGCACGCACCACCACACCCGGCTCATTTTTGTATTTTTAGTACAGACGGGGTTTCACCATGTTGGTCAGGTTGGTCTCAAACTCCTGACCTGGTGATCTGCCCGCCTTGGCCTCCCAAAGGGCTGGGATTACAGGAGTGAGCCACTGTGCCCGGCCCCACCTGGCCAATATGGTGAACCCCCATCTCCACTAATAATACAACAATTAGCTGGGTGTGGTGGCACGCGCCTGTATTCCAGCTACTCTGGAGACTGAGGCAGAAGAATCACTTGAAGGCGAGAGGCAGAGGTTGCAGCGAGTTGCATTCATGTCACTGAATTCCAGCCTGGGAGACAGTGAAACACTGTCTCATTTTAAAAAAAAAAAAAGAGAGAGAGAGAGAGAGAGAGAGAGCCAGGCGCAGTGGCTCACACCTATAATCCCAGCACTTTGGGAGGCCGAGGCGGGTGGATCAGAGGTCAAGAGATCGAGACCATCCTGGTCAATGAGGTGAAACCCCGTCTCTACTAAAAATACAAAAATTAGCTGGGCATGGTGGCGTGTGCCTGTAGTCCCAGCTACTCGGGAGGCTGAGGCAGGAGAATTGCTTGAACCCAGAAGACGGAGGTTGCGGTGAGCTGAGATCGTGCCATTGCACTCCAGCCTGGGTGACAACAGCAAAACTCCATCTCAAAAAATAAATAAATAAGAAAGAAACTAAAATCTACCCATGCTTTCACACGCGCGCGCACACACACACACACATACACACACACACACCCTTTCTTGTGTTAAAGTTGGAGAGTGCCACGTCCCATGCTTTCACACACGCGCACACACACACACTCACACACACAGACACACACACACCCTTTCTTGTGTTAAAGTTGGAGAGTGCCACGTCCCATGCTTTCACACGCGCGCACACACACACACAGACACACACACACCCTTTCTTGTGTTAAAGTTGGAGTGCCACGTCCCATGCTTTCACACGCGCGTGCACACACACACACACCCTTTCTTGTGTTAAAGTTGGAGAGTGCCACGTCCCATGCTTTCACACACACACACTCACACACACACACAGACACAGACACACACACAGACACAGACACACACACACCCTTTCTTGTGTTAAAGTTGGAGAGTGCCACGTCCTTTTCCGACCACATTGCTTGACAAAGTCTGGATATGGGGAGACGAGCTTCAAAGAAGACTCTGTCCTGGAAAAGGACGAGGCATGCGGATGCAATTTCTTGGGTGGATCAGTGGGTTCTTGGGAATTGTCTGCTTAATCATTTTTCTTGCTAATCAAAAAATTGTGTACTCGTCTGATGTCACCTTAGGGTCCCAATTCTCCACTGACACTCCTAGCACCTCAGAAATCCCCATTACTACTAATGGCCTCAGATGTCACCACAGTATACTTGATAACTTGAGGAAAGACCCTAAATTCATTAAAGACATAAAGCAGTTTATGCTTGAATTACAACAGGTGAAAATACTCCAGGAGCCAGTTCCCCTACACCTATTCCCAGAAATAAGGAAAGAACAAAGACTTAGAAATTTACTTCCCACTGCCCAGAGGCTTCCTTGGGTAGCTTACAAGCTAGGGAATAGATTTTAGCATCCCCCTGAAGGAGCAAAAGTTAATTAGAAAATAATTAGACTTACTGATCCTTCTCTACCTTATACAGAAGAAAATAACAAGGACAGAATAAAAATGGTTAATATAAACAGTGTCTTCTATCATTCCCTAACATTTATGAAAGGGCTTGCCAGAACAAGATTTCCTTGGTGAATAAAAACAAAACAACAAAGAATATTTGTACTAAAACAGGTAAAGCATGAATCTCCACGCTGTCCTCTACCTCGTAGTCTGAACTCCACTGACCTCCACCTGTAACCATGGTTAATAATATGCGTTGCCAATGTGTGATGTTCTTGACTCCCAGGACTATCCACTCATCCCTGAAGATGGAACGGTCAGTGTCTATCACTTGGTCAAAATTTAACTCTTAATCTGTTTTATAATTTCTTTAACATTTAGTTATAAAAGCATAATAGCTAACACAAGTTAATCATAAATTAATAACCTTTAAGAAAAAAGAAAGTGAATTAAAAACAGTAGAATGTAGATATCAAACTTTTCCTTGGAATCATCTTCGAAACAAACGCTTCTGATGATTCTGGAGAATCATAATACAATGTAATTTTTTTGAAGTGTAACTACGAAACCCTGTTAATGTTTGAATTTCCTGATTCATCTGTTCACCTGCCAAAATTAAAAGTATAAAAATCATATGTTGCCTGTAATAAACACACACACACATCTTTTGGTTAATACAACCTGCAAGTCGTGCTGCCTCCTTCCACCGACGCCTAGCCCACCTTCAAGACCCCCTGGACCCTGCCCGGCCGGACCTCGGCAGGAGAGAGAGTCTCTCTTCCCTGTGTCCTCACACCCACCCCCAGGAGAGACCAAACTGAAGGCTTGGGGACTGAGCCACGGGCCCCATGCCGTGCTGAAGGAACACAGCTACATGGGCAGGTCCTCTTTCTGCACAAAAATACCATCATACTGGAGACCTGTGTGCAACTTCCTATCCTCAGCGAACTGTCTCCTCATCCCTTTCAGCCAGTCCGTTCCGCTCTGTGCCGTTCCACAGTTTCATTGATTCTTTCTGTATTTCCGTTATGATCCCTTGTCCTTGTCCTCATAAGTCAGTCACTTGTCTTTCCTTATTAACATGTGGGGCCGGGCGCGGTGGCTCACGCCTGTAATCCCAGCACTTTGGGAGGCCGAGGCAGGTGGATCACGAGGTCAAGAGATCGAGACCATCCTGGCCAACATGGTGAAACCCCGTCTCTACTAAACATAAAAAAAATTAGCTGGGCATGGTGGCACATGCCTGTAATCCCAGCTACTTGGGAGGCTGAGACAGGAGAATCGTCTGAACCCAGGAGGCGGAGGTTGCAGTGAGTGGAGAATGCGCCATTGCACTCCAGCCTGGGTAACAAGAGCGAAACTCCGTCTCAAAAGAAAAAAAAAAAAAAAAAGTGGAAGCTCTTTCCATACTAAGAGTATAAGATGTTGGCTGATGCCGGGCGCGGTGGCTCAAGCCTGTAATCCCAGCACTTTGGGAGGCCGAGGCGGGTGGATCACGAGGTCAAGAGATCGAGACCATCCTGGTCAAAATGGTGAAACCTCGTCTCTACTGAAAATACAAAAAGTTAGCTGGGCATGGTGGCGCGTGCCTGTAATCCCAGCTACTCAGGAGGCTGAGGCAGGAGAATTGCCTGAACCCAGGAGGCGGAGGTTGTGGTGAGCCAAGATCGCGCCATTGCACTCCAGCCTGGGTAACAACAGCGAAACTCCGTCTCAAAAAAAAAAAAAAAAAAAAGATGTTGGTGAGATACATTCTCCATGTCTTGTCTTTAGAGGGTTCAGGTAGCAGGAAGAAGGGGTTGTCCCAGGCCTGAGGTGGGGGGGGGGGGTCTTTGGTGTCTTTAAGGTCCCGTATCTCTTGTTTTTTTCCCCTCAGGCTGTGAGCAGAGTCAGGACAGGGTGGCTGACAGGGGCTGGAAAGGAGAAGAGCCAGCGGGAGAAGCATTGCTAAGCTGGTTGGACATACTTCCTGCTCTGACCAAGTAGCTTACCCGGGCTTCCTCAGGACACCGAGGGCAAAGCCTGAGCAACGGTCTGGGGAAACCGGGCAGGGGCAGGGGCACGGTGAAGGTTGCCTGCTGATGCACTTCCCAAAGCAAGGTCCTCCGCCAGGACCTCAGAAAACCACATATGAGTGATTTCTCGGGCTGTTTTCTGCTCAGTACCATCCCCCAAACATGAATTTTTGTTTTTTGAAATGGAGTTTCTTTCTTTTTTTTTTTTTTTCTTGAGACGGAGTTTCGCTCTTGTTACCCAGGCTGGAGTGCAATGGTGTGATCTCGGCTCACCGCAACCTCCGCCTCCTGGGCTCAGGCAATTCTCCCACCTCAGTCTCCTGAGTAGCTGGGATTACAGGCACGCGCCACCATGCCCAGCTAATTTTTTGTATTTTTAGTAGAGACGGGGTTTCACCACATTGACCACGATGGTCTCGATCTCTTGACCTCGTGATCCACCTGCCTCGGCCTCCCAAAGTGCTGGGATTACAGGCATGAGCCACTGTGCCTGGCGAAGTGGAGTTTCAATCTTGTCACCCAGGCTGTGGGGCAATGGTGCCATCTCACCTCACCTGAACCTCCGCCTCCTGGGTGAAGAGATTCTCCTCCCTCAGTCTCCCAGGTAACTGGGACTACAGGCATGCACCACCATGCCCGGCTAATTTGGTATTATTAATAGAGATAGGGTTTCTACATGTTAGTCAGGCTGGTCTAGAACTCTCAACCTCAGGTGATCCTCCTGCCTTGGCCTTCCAAACTGCTGGGATTACAGGCGTGAGCCACCACACCAGGCCAAACCACTGCTTTTCATGAGCAGAGATGCACCCAGTGGCCTCCTGCACCTCTCACCCTTTTCCCCCAAGTCCACACCTTCCTTCCTCACCCTACAGGAGCTGGCCAGCCTCATCACCCCCACATCTCCCCACCTACATTCTGCAACCACTGGGGCCTTCCGTCTCCTGTCCTTTCCCCTCCGCGAGCCAAGCCTCCTCCCTCCTCCACCTCCTCCACCTAATACATATCCTTAAGTCTCACCTCCTCCAGGAAGCCCACCTCCTCAGATTCACCCTGCTCCCCCTGAGTGCCTCGTCCACCCGTCGAGACTTCCTCGGGGCCTGTGATGAAGTCTGCACCTCTGTGTGTACTCACTTGCCTGATGATTAGAGGAATGCCTACCTCCCAGAGGAGGCTCCATGCTCAAGTCTGCACCTCTGAGTGTACTCACTTGCCTGATGATTAGAGGAATGCCTACCTCCCAGAGGAGGCTCCATGCTCAAGGCATGTTCTGCCTGGGGCTTTGTTTATCTGTTTAACCCCTATTTACCTAGCAAGTCTTGCACCAAATAGCATTTGGAGAGCTGGGGGTGTCATAGTGGACCAAGACCTCTACTAGGCCGGTGGAAGAGTCCGTCACACAAACTGCACTGGGTCACACGGTGAGTCCAGGAGCCGGGACTTAGCCAGCACCCACGACCACCGGCCGCTTTCCCCATGCGGGTAAAGGAGTTTGGATCTGGAGCCGCCCCCACCCCAGCCCGGCGCTTTTTTGCATTCTGGCTGGTATTTGTTCCTTCCGGGTGCCTGTCACTCCAGCACACTAGTGACGGCCGCCGGTGGGAAAGGGGGCTGGAGAAAGCGAGGCTGCAGAGCAGGAGGGGCTCTGCGGGGACATTCTTTGGAGTTTCCACAGGCCGGGTGTCCGGGTGCGCGCATCCCTCTCCGCTGGGATTGGGCGAAGCCTCCCCGTCGCACTCCAGGAAGCTGAGTGTGTGCACCGGACCCGCCGGAGTTGACGCGCGTCCAGCGGGTGTCAGGCCGGGGCAGGGCTGCGGGCTGACTTTCTCCTTCACTCGGGACGCTCGAGCTCCCGGAAGGAAAAGGTGGCGCTGAACGCCGGGGTGGAAGAGCCCACAGCGCGCGACTCCGACCGGCCGGCCCCGCCAGCGCGGCCACCGCCCTGCTTCGGGCCAGCGGGATGGGCGGGAGTGGAGCGTTGGGTGGAAGGTGGAGACCTCCTGGCCCGCCCCGCCCCACGAGCGCCCCCGGGGGAGGCCAAGCCCGCCGCCCGCCCCGCGCAGGCCAGGCCCTGGACTCCCCTTCGGTCCAGGCCGCGCCCGGGGCTCCGCGCCAGCCAATGAGCGCCGCGTGTCCGGGCGTGTCCCCGCGCCCCGAGCATAAACCCTGGCGCGCTGGCCGCCCGGCACTCTTCTGGTCCACGCAGACTCAGAAAGAACCCACCATGGTGCTGTCTCCCGCCGACAAGAGCAACGTCAAGGCCGCCTGGGGTAAGGTCGGCAGCCACGCTGGCGACTATGGTGCCGAGGCCCTGGAGAGGTGAGGCTCCCTCCCCTGCTCCGACCCACCGGCCACCCCCCACCGGCCTGGCCCTGGCGCCCGACCCAAACCTCACCCCCTACTCCGCCTCTCTCCGCAGGATGTTCCTGTCCTTCCCCACCACCAAGACCTACTTCCCCCACTTCGACCTGAGCCACGGCTCTGCCCAGGTCAAGGGCCACGGCAAGAAGGTGGCCGACGCGCTCACCAACGCCGTGGCGCACGTGGACGACATGCCCAACGCGCTGTCTGCGCTCAGCGACCTGCACGCGCACAAGCTTCGGGTGGACCCGGTCAACTTCAAGGTGAGTGGCCGGCGGGAGCCATTTGGGTAGAGGGGCGAGATCACGCCTTCCTCGCGGGGCAGAGCACCCCGCGGGTTGCGGGAGGTGTGACACAGGCGGCGGCTGCCGGCCCTGGGCCCCTCTGAGCCTTGTCTCTGCACAGCTCCTGAGCCACTGCCTGCTGGTGACCCTGGCCGCCCACCACCCGGCCGAATTCACCCCTGCGGTGCACGCCTCTCTGGACAAGTTCCTGGCTTCTGTGAGCACCGTGCTGACCTCCAAATACCGTTAAGCTGGAGCCTCGGTCGGTCGGCATTCCTCCTGCCCTCTGGGTCTCGGGCCAGGCCCTCCATCCCTCCCTGCACCGGCCCTTCCTGGTCTTTGAATAAAGTCTGAGTGGGCGGCAGCCTGTGTGTGCCTGGATTCTCTGTGTCCCTGAATCTGCCAGCCGTGGGTGTTTTTTCTTGTCTCACACCAAGGACCTCTCTGCAGCTGCGTTGGGTTGGGGAGGGAGAACGGCAGGGAGTGCAGGAGGGGAAGCTGAAGTGGGCCTGCTCCAGAGAAGTGGTAAACCAGCCCCTACCCTGGAAGGTGCCAGGACTGCAGGCACTGGCTCAGGAGCTGGGGAGGAGACGGGGCATCCATGGTTCCTCTCAGGGAGTCCTAGCATGACCACCCTCCTTTGAAATCTCCCTGATTGAACCCAGTTAAACAGACACTCTACACCAAAGCAAAACCCAGAGGAACAAACCAGCAAAACAGGCTGTTCCCCATGCAGGGGCAGGTGCCAGAACATTTCTCTCATTCCCACCCCCTCCTGCCAAAGAGTAGGTGGCTGGAGTGAGGGTGCGGGCCCCACCCATGCTTCCTCTGTCCTGGTAACCCTCTGAGAGCAGCCCAGTCAGCCGGGAAGGAGGAAGGGGCTGCGACGCTCACAGCCCGTGGCCTGCACCTGGGGAAACTCTTCAGCAGGGCACCTTGCGGCCTTGCTCCTGTGCTTCTCCTGCACTTCCTAAGGTGCATTCAGAGCTCACCGTGTGCCCAGCCCCGAGCCCCCAGCTTACTGCCCCACCCTCCACCTCCCCAGGTCCAGAGGCCTCTGGGATCTCCCAGGGCTTCTGCTTCCTGTGCTGGAGCCAGTGAAGGAAACGCCCCTGTCCGCGGTGCTGAAGTCCTGGAATCCATGCGAGGATGTTGCACAGCCCATGGGCTCTCAGCCAGACTAGGAACATGACCAGCACTCCCAGCCCAGCCCCTGCCCAGAGCAAGCCTCCCCCTCCACACTCACAGTACTGCATCAAGCTTTGGGGAGGGGGAGAGGGGCCGGTCACCGCTTTTCTTCTGGACAGGGACCCCTCTGAATTGTTGGGGAGTTCCCTCCCCATCTCCACCATTCAGTCTTCCTCTGCCACACAGCCAAGAGCATTGTTATTTGTTATTTAAGCGCAGAGAAACATTTAAAAAAATAAACTAAAATCTACCCATGCTTTCTCACACACACACACACACACACACACACACACACCCTTTCTTGTGTTAAGGTTGGAGAGAGAGTCTCTTCCCTGTGTCCTCACACCCACCCCCAGAAGAGATGAAACTGAAGGCTTAGGGACCGAGCCACGGGCCCCATGCCGTGCTCAAGGAACACAGCCACATGTGCACCTACTGCCACAGGTCCTCTTTCTGGACAAAAATACCATCATACTGGAGACCTGTGTGCAACTTCCTATCCTCAGCGAACTGTCTCCTCATCCCTTTCAGCCAGGCCATTCCGTTCTGTGCCGTTCCACAAATTTCATTGTTTATTTATTTTGTTTTGTGACAGTCTTGCACTGTCACCCAGGCTGGAGTGCAGTCGTGCAATCTTAGTTCACTGCAACCAACACCTCCCAGGTTCAAGGGATTCTTGTGCCTCAGCCTCCCAAGTAGCTGGGACTACAGGTGCTCACCACCAAGCCTGGCTAATTTTTGTATTTTTTTAAACACTTTTTTGTTTTTAAATAGAGACGGGGTTTCATCATGTTGGTCAGGCTGGTTGTGAACTCCTGACCTTGTGATACACCTGCCTCAGCCTCCCAAAGTGCTGGGATTACAGGCGTGAGCCACTGCGCCCAGTCTTAATTTTTGTATTTTTAGTGGAGATCGGATTTCATGATGTTGACCAGGTTGGTCTCAAACACCTGACCTCTGGTGATCCACCTGTCTCAGCCTCCCTAAGAGCTGTGACTACAGGCATGAGCCACCTCGCCCAGCCTCACTGATTATTTCCATGTTTCTGGTTATGATGATATGATGTTTTGTGTTTGTCCTCATAGTCACTTGTCTTTCCTTATTAACACGTGAAAGCTCTTTCCATACTACAAGTATAAGACGTTGGCTGAGATACATTCTCTATGTCTTGCCTTAAGAGGGTTCAGGGAGCAGAGACAATGCAGCAAAATGCAGGAAGAAGGGGTTGTCCCAGGCCTGAGGTGTGGGGGGTGGGGGGGTCTTTGGTGTCTTTCAGCCCCGACCTCTCAAACAAACAAACAAACAAAAAAGCCAGGTACAGTCGCTCAGGCCTGTAATCCCAGCATTTGGGAGGCTGAGGCGGGTGGATCACCTGAGGTCCGGAGTTCGAGACCAGCCTGACCAACATGGAGAAACCCCATCTCTACTAAAAATACAAAATTAGCCGGGGGTGTGGCAGCACATGCCTCTAATACCAGCTACTTTGGAGGCAGAGTCAGGAGAATCGCTTGAACCAAGGAGGTGTAAGTGGCATTGAGCCAAGGTAGTGCCACTGCACTCCAGCCTGGGCTACAAGAGCAAAACACCATCTCAAAAAAAAAAAAAAAAAAAAAAAAGGCTCATATCTTATCTTTTTTCCCTTCAGTCTGTGGGCAGAGTCAGGACAGGGTGGCAGATAGGGAAGGGAAACGAGACGAACCACCGGGGGAAGCATTGCTAAGCTGGTCTGAGATACTTCCTTCTCTGCCCAAGGCAACTTACCCTGGCTTCCTCCTGGACACACAGGGCAGGGCCTGAGTAGGGGTCCTAGTGGGATGGGGCAGGGGGCAGGCTGAAGGATGCCCACATGACCCACTCTGAAAAGCAAGGTCTTCTATCAGGACCCCAAGAGATGATGTATCAGTGATTTCTCAGGTTCTTTTCTCCTCAGCACCATCCCCCAAAAAACCATCGCTTTTCATGAGCAGAGACGCACCCAGTGGCCTCCTGCACCTCTCACCCTTTCCCCCCAAGTCCACACCTTCCTTCCTCACCCTACAGGAGCTGGCCAGCCTCATCACCCCCACATCTCCCCACCTCCATTCTGCAACCACTGGGGCCTTCTCTCTCCTGTCCTTTCCCCTCCGCGAGCCAAGCCTCCTCCCTCCTCCACCTCCTCCACCTAATACATATCCTTGTCTCACCTCCTCCAGGAAGCCCACCTCCTCAGATTCACCCTGCTCCCCCTGAGTGCCTCGTCCACCCGTCTAGACTTCCTCGGGGCCTGTGATGAAGTCTGCACCTCTGTGTGTACTCACTTGCCTGATGATTAGAGGAATGCCTACCTCCCAGAGGAGGCTCCATGCTCAAGGCGTGTTCTGCCTGGGGCTTTGTTTATCTGTTTAACCCCTATTTACCTAGCAAGTCTTGCACCAAATAGCATTTGGAGAGCTGGGGGTGTCATAGTGGACCAAGACCTCTACTAGGCCGGTGGAAGAGTCCGTCACACAAACTGCACTGGGTCACACGGTGAGTCCAGGAGCCGGGACTTAGCCAGCACCCACTACCACCGGCCGCTTTCCCCATGCGGGTAAAGGAGTTTGGATCTGGAGCCGCCCCCACCCCAGCCCGGCGTTTTTTTGCGTTCTGGCTGGTATTTGTTCCTTCCGGGTGCCTGTCACTCCAGCACACTAGTGACGGCCGCCGGTGGGAAAGGGGGCTGGAGAAAGCGAGGCTGCAGAGCAGGAGGGGCTCTGCGGGGACATTCTTTGGAGTTTCCACAGGCCGGGTGTCCGGGTGCGCGCATCCCTCTCCGCTGGGATTGGGCGAAGCCTCCCCGCTCGCACTCCAGGAAGCTGAGTGTGTGCACCGGACCCGCTGGAGTTGACGCGCGTCCAGCGGGTGTCAGGCCGGGGCAGGGCTGCGGGCTGACTTTCTCCTTCACTCGGGACGCTCGAGCTCCCGGAAGGAAAAGGTGGCGCTGAACGCCGGGGTGGAAGAGCCCACAGCGCGCGACTCCGACCGGCCGGCCCCGCCAGCGCGGCCACCGCCCTGCTTCGGGCCAGCGGGATGGGCGGGAGTGGAGCGTTGGGTGGAAGGTGGAGACCTCCTGGCCCCGCCCCGCCCCACGAGCGCCCCCGGGGGAGGCCAAGCCCACCGCCCGCCCCACGCAGGCCAGGCCCTGGACTCCCCTTCGGTCCAGGCCGCGCCCGGGGCTCCGCGCCAGCCAATGAGCGCCGCGTGTTCGGGCGTGTCCCCGCGCCCCGAGCATAAACCCTGGCGCGCTGGCCGCCCGGCACTCTTCTGGTCCACGCAGACTCAGAAAGAACCCACCATGGTGCTGTCTCCCGCCGACAAGAGCAACGTCAAGGCCGCCTGGGGTAAGGTCGGCAGCCACGCTGGCGACTATGGTGCCGAGGCCCTGGAGAGGTGAGGCTCCCTCCCCTGCTCCGACCCACCGGCCACCCCCCACCGGCCTGGCCCTGGCGCCCGACCCAAACCTCACGCCCTACTCCGCCTCTCTCCGCAGGATGTTCCTGTCCTTCCCCACCACCAAGACCTACTTCCCCCACTTCGACCTGAGCCACGGCTCTGCCCAGGTCAAGGGCCACGGCAAGAAGGTGGCCGACGCGCTCACCAACGCCGTGGCGCACGTGGACGACATGCCCAACGCGCTGTCTGCGCTCAGCGACCTGCACGCGCACAAGCTTCGGGTGGACCCGGTCAACTTCAAGGTGAGTGGCCGGCAGGAGCCATTTGGGTCGAGGGGCGAGATCACGCCTTCCTCGCGGGGCAGAGCACCCCGCGGGTTGCGGGAGGTGTGACACAGGCGGCGGCTGCCGGCCCTGGGCCCCTCTGAGCCTTGTCTCTGCACAGCTCCTGAGCCACTGCCTGCTGGTGACCCTGGCCGCCCACCACCCGGCCGAATTCACCCCTGCGGTGCACGCCTCTCTGGACAAGTTCCTGGCTTCTGTGAGCACCGTGCTGACCTCCAAATACCGTTAAGCTGGAGCCTCGGTCGCCATTCCTCCTGCCCTCTGGGCCTCGGGCCAGGCCCTCCTCCCCTCCCTGCACCTGCACCCCCTGGTCTTTGAATAAAGCCTGAGTGGGCGGCAGCCTGTGTGTGCCTGGGTTTCTTCTCTCAGCAAAGGTTCAGGGGATGGGCGTGAACACCGTCTGGGACACACAGCCCTAGGACCTCTCTGCATCTGGAATGGGCAGGAAAGGGCAGGGGCAGGAAAGGGCAAAGTTGAGCCATCCCAGAGTACATGGGAGATAGTCTGGAAAACCGCAGGGCGCTAGAGAGCTTTGAAGATGCGTTTCCTCTTTCCTGAGTTTATCCCCAGGCCTTTCAGGCTCGATGCAGGTTTGCTGAAATAACGAATTTATCCATCTTTCCGTTTCAGGGCACTCTTGTGCCAGGAACTGGCTGGCTTTCTCCCTGCGACCCCACTAGTCTCCCAGGGGTCCTCCCAGGTATGGGTGGTGGGGAGGTCAGGGAAGTCCCACTCCAGCGCGGCTGCACTGATCCGCCATCGTCCCCACCAGTCTTTGCAAAACCTCCCAGAAACAGGCACGGTCTAGATAAAATCAGTGGGGAGGGGTGCAACTGCGGACCCCAGGCATTTCTATGGGGGTTCCCCTTTCACCCCCAGGCCGCCCCAGGTGCTCACACTCCAGACACATGCCCTAGGGCTGTCAAGGTCAGGAGGTTGTCTCTGGGTCCAGCTCAGCACCCACTCAGCTCCCCTGAGGCTGGGGAGCCTGTCCCGTTGCGACTGTGGAGAGGAGAGAGGGGAGTCCGGGCCACAGAGGCCTGGCTAGAAGGTCCCCTCCTCCCTGCAGTGTGTTTTCTCCCTGCTGAGCAGCGTCCCAGTGCCTGGGGTTCCCTGACCTGGCAGCGGCAAGCCCTGGCCCCCGACGGATCACAGCACCTCTTCCTCCCTGAGCCCGTGAATCGCCATTGGTAAACACCTATGGCAGGCCCTTTGCCTCCGTTTGTGATGCCCTTCCCACAGCCTGTGGGTACAGTAGGAACTGCCAGGAAAAGGGTGTCTTCATTATTTCATCAGGAAGAATGGAGGTCTGACCTAAAGGTGGAAACATGTCAAATGCACATCAGTGGGCTGGTTGGGTGCAGAGGTGTTTACAATTAATTGATCAGAACGAGTTATACATTTATGGTTTCCTTCTCCACTCCTCCTGCTTCAGTTGACTAAGCCTAAGAAAAAGTTATAAAAATTGGCTGGGTAGGGTTCCTCACGCCTGTAATTGCAGCACTTTAGGAGGCCAAGGCAGGCGGCTCACCTGAGGTCAGGGGTTCGAGACCAGCCTAGCCAACATGGGGAAAGCCTGTCTCTACCAAAACACAAAAATTAGCAGGGTGTGGTGGTGGGCTCCTGTAGTCCCAGCTACTCAGGAGGCCGAGGCAGGAGAATCGCTTGAACCCGGGAGGCAGAGGTTGCAGTGAGCGGAGATCGTGCCATTGCACTCCAGCATGGTGACTCAGCAAGGCTGTCTCAAAACAAACAAACAAAATATTTGGTAGGTGAAAGAAACCACATGTTACACGACCCCATCGATATGCGATATCCACTACAGCGCAATCCATAGGAACCAACGGCAGATGAGTGGCACCCGGCCGGGGATACCGTTAAGGAGCACAGATTGGCGTCTGGGATGATGAAAAAGCTCTGACCTAGACAGTGGTGATGGCTGCATTAAACTGTAAATAGTCTGGCAATTTATGTCGACTTTTATCACGGTGTTTTTAACAAAAAGCTCTAAGGTGGTACAGCAGAGTGAGCGCTGCACACGTATTTACTATTATTGGGTTACATTCCAGGCACTCAGTAAACTTCACTGCCCTGAAGAAACACCTGCTGTGAGTCAGGCACCCGACGGTTGTTACCTGTTTAATTCTGACAATCTGAGAAGAAACTATTACCCTCATTTTATGATAAATGAGTAAATAAATCCCAGCAAGCGTCACAGTAGATTCAAGAGGCGGAATAAACTTATTTCCAGTGCGAAATCCATGCCGAAATTGAGAGTTGTAGTAATATATATGGCCTGGTGCAGTGGCTCACGCCTGTCATCCCAGCACTTCGGGAGGTCAGGCGGGCAGATCACCTGAGGTCGGGGGTTCGAGATCAGCCTGGCTAAGATGGTGAAACGCCGTCTCTACTAAAAATACAAAATTAGCTGGGCGTGGTGGCGCTCACCCGTAATCCCAGCTACTGAGATGCTGAGGCAGGAGAATCGCTTGGACCATGGAAGTTGCAGTGACCAGTGAGCCGGAATCACGCCACTGCACTCCAGCCTGGGCGCCAGAGCGAGATTCCATCTCCAAAAACAATAATTATATATTTATGTATGTATATGATTATTATATATTTCTCTAATACGTATAAGCACGCTCCACTATGCCCGGCTACTTTAAATTTTTTTTTTGTAAATATGCGGCTTCCCTATGTTGCTCAGGCCGGTAAATATTATTTTCCATATGGTGAACCCCTAAAACGGGGGGCCTTGGATTTAGGGCGATTCAGAGGGCCCCGGTCGGCACCGACGGAGATTGAGCGCGCAGGGACCAGGGACAAGGCCGTGGACCCCAGGGAGGAGAGGCTGCAGCGCGGCGCCCCCTGGAGGCCGCGGGACCCCGTGCGGGTCGGCGCAGGCGCGGCGGGTTCGGGCGCGGGGATGGCGCTGTCCGCGGAGGACCGGGCGCTGCTGCGCGCCCTGTGGAAAAAGCTGGGCAGCAACGTCGGCGTGTACACGACAGAGGCCCTGGAGAGGTGCGGCGGGGCTGGGCGCCCCCGCCCCCCGGGGCCCTTCCTCCCCAGGCCCCCCGGACGCGCCTCACGCCCGCTCCTCTCGTAGGACCTTCCTGGCCTTCCCCGCCACCAAGACCTACTTCTGTCACCTGGACCTGAGCCCCGGCTCCGCGCAGGTCAGAGCGCACGGCCAGAAGGTGGCGGACGCGCTGAGCCTCGCGGTGGAGCGCCTGGACGACCTACCCCGCGCGCTGTCCGCGCTGAGCCACCTGCACGCGCGCCAGCTGCGAGTGGACCCGGCCAGCTTCCAGGTGAGCGGCGGCCCGGCTAGGCCCCTGTCCCCGGGAGGGCCCCCAGCGGGGCGGGTGCGGGCGACTGAGCCTCGCGCGCCCCCTGCAGCTCCTCGGCCACTGCCTGCTGGTGACCCTCGCCCGGCATTACCCCGGAGACTTCAGCCCCGCGCTGCAGGCGTCGCTGCACAAGTTCCTGAGCCACGTGGCCTCGGCGCTGGCTTCCGAGTACCAGTGAACTACGGGTGGGTGGCCGCGGGACCCCCAGGCGACCCTCCCCGTGTGAGTAAAGCCCCCGAGGCTCACTCTTCCTGCCGTGCTCTCTCTCTCTCGGGGGCAGGACGTAGTGAGGGAAAGGCGCCGTCCCTCCCCAAGGAGAGGCCGGGGGCGCGCTCCCAGTGTCCAGATCCAGGCGCGCCCCGTCCCACCCCCGACAGGTTTGAGGTCTCCGCCAACGGGGCACTGACCTGGGTACAGGCTGACCCTCCTGGTTGGGGTGGCAGGTGGGGACCGCGGGCCGCGAGGGCGTCCTCCCCACTCGGGGCCAAGTACGTGGCCCGGGCCCACCGCGAGAACTCCGCACCTCCAGCCTCAGCGCGCGGGGCAGCCTCGGAGCACGTTAGGGAACAGCGCCCTCTCCCGGCGCCGGCCGGCACCTGCGCCGCGCGCAGCCCGTTAGCGGCGCCGCGGGACCGGGGATGGCGGGGGCAGGTTGTGGCGAAGTCCTTTTACTGCCAGGGCCTGGGGCTGGGCCTGGGGGAGGAGGTGCGACCAACCCCAGTACCTAGTCACATAGGAGCCGGCCCGCAGCCCCGCCTTCGCCCACACTACTATGGAGAGGGAAGCTAGGCCTTCTTTGTTCTATTCGCCCCGTAACCAACCGTGGTCATTGCAGAACTTCCCAACACAACGCCTGCTGCGCCTTCCTGTGCATCGCAGGTCCAGGAGCGGGTGCAGCACATCCTTCTGTTCCCACGTGACACGCGGCACACTGTGTCATGTGTAGACAAGAACAGGACACGGCTGTCAGAGCCAAGAGCACGTGTGACACAGACATTCCACGCCCACACACGCGGCAGACGGCCCACACAGAGCCGTCACATTTAACGCGCATCCTGCCTAACATAGTGAAACCCTGTCTCTACAAGACTACGATTAGCCGGGCCTGGCGGCATGTGCCTGTGGTCCCAGCTACTTGGGAGGCTGGGGCGGGAGAACTGCGTGATCTTGGGAGGGAGTCTGCAGTGAGCGAAGCGTGCAGTTGCACTCCAGTCTGGGCAGCTGGTCCACTGAAACAACTCAATCGTCAGTATGACAGCATCTGTCATTGCCCTCTCCTGCATGTGCACCACCCGTTGCGTCCTTGGCCTGTTTTCCCACTGTGGTGTTGCCCAAAGGAGCATTTATTCTGTGGACCTGTAGACCTGCAGTCCATCTTACATCATGTTTATTTATTTATTTTTTTTTGAGTCGAAGTTTTGTCACACAGGCTGGAGTGCAATGGTGTGATCTCAGCTCACTGCAACTGCTGCACCTCTGCACCCGGAGTAAGCACTTGGAGCCCAAGAGGCTCAGGGCCCCTGGGGAAGCCCCAGGCTCTGACTCCTTTAAGTAGGCATGGTCACCTACTTGGGCCTGGGTTACATCTGGAGCATCAATGAAGTTGGGAGAGCCAGACCCCATCCTTTCTGGAGACGTGGGGTTGGACAGAGCTGGCCCTGGCTCAAGGGCTCAGACCACTTGGTACAGAAGCCACCCAGAGGTGCAGATCTGAGGAGCAGCTGTGGGCTCTCCACACTGTTGGGGAGCCTCACAGACCCACTCAAGTCCAGGAAAGATTGCCTCCCAGTTCAGCCTCCCAAGTAGCTGGGATTACAGGCATGCGCCACCATTCCCAGCTAATTTTGTATTTTTAATAGAGATGGGGTTTTGTCATGTTGGTCGGGCTGGTCTCGAACTCCCGACCTCAGGTGATCCACCAGCCTCAGCCTCCCAAAGTGCTGGGCTTAGAGGCTCGAGCCACCCTGCCCAGCCTGCACTCTGCTGTTTTTTGCTTTGTTTTAGGCAGAGTCTCCCACTGTCACCTAGGCTGGAGTGCAGTGGTGCAATGCTGGCTCACTGCAACTTCCACTTCCTAGGTTCAAGTGATTCTCCTGCCTCAGCCTCCCAAGTAGCTGGGATTACAGGCACACACCACCATGGCCAGCTAATTTTTATATTTTCAGTAAAGACGGGGTTTCAGCCAGGTGTGGTGGCTCATGCCTGTAATCCCAGCACTTTGGGAGGCCAAGGTGGGCAGATCACCTGAAGTCGGGAGTTCAAGACCAGCCTGACCAACATGGTGAAACCCTGTCTCTACTAAAAACACAAAATTAGACAGGCATGGTGGCACATGCCTGTAATCCCAGCTACTCGGGAGGCTGAGACAGGAGAATCGCTTCAACCCAGGAGGTGGAGGTTGCAGTGAGCCAAGGTCACGCCTCTGCACTCCAGCCTGGGCAGTAAGAGTGAAAACTCCGTCTCAAAAAATAAAATAAAATAGGGTTTCACCATGTTGGCCAGGTTGGTCTTGAACTCCTGACCTCAGGTGATCCACCCATCTTGGCCTCCCAAATTACTGGGATTACAGGCATGAACCACCACAGCTGGCCCACTCTGCCTTTCCAAAACCACCCCTGCACAGGTGGTGAAGGCTGCACAACTGTGTGGATGTCCTTAATGCCACTGAACTGTACACTGAACTGTTACAACTAAGTTTTATATGCATCTTATTATAATTAAAACATTTTAGGCCAGGTGTGGTAGCTCACGCCTGTAATCCCAGCACTTTGGGACGCTGAGGTGGGTGGATCACAAGGTCAGGAGTTCAAGACCAGCCTTGCCAAGATGGTGAAACCCTGTCTCTACTAAAAATACAAAAATCAGCTGGGCATGGTGGCGGGTGCTGTAATTCCAGCTACTCAGGAGGCTGAGGCAGGGAACTGCTTGAACTCAGGAGGCGGAGGTTGCAGTGAGCCAAGATCGCACCACTGCACTCCAACCTAGGGGACAGAGTAAGGCTGTCTCAAAAAAAAAAAATTTTTTTTTAAATACCCCACCCCTCCAGATGAGGGAATAAGCAGGAGGCCCTTCTACAGCCCTGGCTTCCAGGTTGCCACACCATCCCCCAAAAGATGCTGCCCAAGATGGGGGTCCTCAGCCTGCTTCAGCCCAGCACCTGCCTGTCCCATGACGGCTGCACAACTGGGGTGGGAAATGGCCTCAGCTCTTGTACGCATCCTCTTCTTCTCCCCCCCCAAGACTACCCTTAATCTACTCAGGGCTTCAGCTAAGGCCCATATGCTCCCCAAACCCAAGGGGACCCTGTGCAGGAGGCAAAGGTGGCACCATGCACCTCCCCTGTCCAGCTAGTTTGCCATTGATAGCACCTACCAAGCAGATATTTACCTTAAAAAAAAAAAAAAAAAAAAAAAAAAAACCACTGCCAGCCACGGTGACTCACACCTGTAATCCTAGTGCTTTGGGAGGCCGAGGTGGGAGGATCAGTTGAGCCCAATTCTCAAGAATAGCCCGAGCACTGGGCATGGTGGCACGTGCCTGTAGTCCCAGCTACTCTGGAGGCTGAGGTGGGAGGATCGCTTGAGCCCAGGAGTTGTGGGCTGTAGTGTGCTCTGCCAATCGGGTGTCTACACTAAGTTTGGCATCAATATGGTGACCTCTCGGGAGTGGGGGACCACAAAGTTGCATAAGGAGGGGTGTATGGTCCAGGGTGGAAAGAAAGCACATCAAAACTCCTCTGCTGATTAGTGGGATCGCACCTGTGAACAGCCACTGCGTTCCAGCTTGGGCAACACAGCGAGACCCCATCTCTTAAAAAAAATACATATATATATATATAAATTATTAAAACAACAACGAAAAAGAATAGCCTGAGCAACACGGTGAGACCTCTCTCTACAAAAAAATAAAAACTTAGCCAAATGTGGTAGTGCACGCACGCCTAAGTCCCAGCCACCTCGGAGGCTGAGAGGGAGAAACACTTGAGCCCAGGAGTCTGCAGGGAGCCCTGATGGTGCCACTGCACCCCAGCATGGATGACAAAGCAAAGTGTCTCAAAAAAATAAATAACTTTATATCACCAAATGTTCTGGAGAGGCCCCTTCTCTTCTGTTCTCATCCAGCCTGGGCTGCAGGCCAAGATGGAGCCCCGTGGGTGGAGCAAGGGCCTGCTCCACGTGACAACGCAGACTCCTTCACAGGGGAGGGATGCACTTCCAGACACACACACCTCCCGCCAGCCATCTTCAGCGAGATGTACTGGTACTGCTGTGGAGAGGAAGGACTCGCTGTATCGGATGGAGAGTGAAACGTGGGTCCCCTACAGCAGACTCTGACAGCAGAAAGGGAGGGAGGGAGGGAGGAAGAGCTGTTGTGAGTGGTATCAGCAGAAAGGGGTATGAAGCTCAATGTGGTCAGCGCCACCTGGCATGTGTACAAAGAGCCCACCTGACTGTCCCCACACAGCAGGGAGGCACGAGCATCTCTCCCTGCACAGATGGTGCCCTGGATGGCTACACCAGCATGAGGCTACCAGGGAAGGCCCAGGACACTGATGCTGCATCCCGGGGGACCTGTCCTTCAACTGTAATCAGCAGATACAGGGGACAGGATGTGGGTACTGAAGGCCAGGGGCACAGCACCTTTTTTGTAAACCCCACTCCCTGACAAGAAAAGAAAAGCAAAAAACAACTGTCTGCACACACAAAGGTCTACATGGAAAAGGATCCAAACAGTTCACAGTGGTAATGGGCCTGAGGGTGGGGCTGTCTGCTTAAGCCCCAGAACACCTGAAGTGCAAACGCTCACTGCCCAGGCAGCCACAGCCATGACCACAACGGAGGGCTGGGAACAGGGAGCCCAGACACAGGCACTCCCTCCAAGACTAGGAGGGAAGCACACAGGCTGAACAAGTACCCTCAGTCCCATGTGCAGGATGAGGCCTGCAAAGCATGGCAGTAATCCCAAGTGACTCCTGCACAGGGCAGCCCTTTCCTTGGAGACAGCTGACTGGGCAAGACCCATGTCACAGGCTGGCAGAGCAGCCCACCTGCCCCTATGTCCTCCGGAAGAAATAGCCTGTGGCAGGAGAGCCCAGGGCAGGGCCACCAGCTACATCGTGATACCGGTGGTGAAAAGACCCAGACCGTGGTACCTGTGTGTGCCCACTAAGCCAGTCAGCTCAAGGGTGGCACCTGTACTTCTGCAGAGACAAAGTGGATGAGGATGACTGTGTGTTAACAATGTGACTCTCAGGAATTCCCTCCAAAAATCTCCCAGATAGTGAAAAAGGGAAGGAGCCCCCATTATCTACACATTAGTTGGCGCTTATGCTTTTCAGAAGGGCTTCATTTTTGTTGTTTCTTCGAGGCAGAGTCTTGCTCTGTCGCCTAGGCTGGATGCAATCTTACCTCACTGCAAACTCTGCCTCCCGGGTTCAAGCGATTCTCCTGTCTCAGCCTCCCTAGCAGCTGTGATTACAGATGTGTACCACCACGCCAGGCTAATTTTTTATTTTCAGTAGAGACAAGGTTTCACCATGTTGGCCAGGCTGGTTTTGAACTCCTGACCTCGAGTGATCCACCCGTCTCGCCCTCCAAAGGGGTGGGATTACTGGCAGGAGCTGCCATGCCCAGCCCTTCATTTTGGTCTTAAAGTTCCTGCTCGATGTAGAGCAGTGGAGAGAACTGAAAGGTGGGTAACCATCATCAGCCCACATGGAACATCAGTCAAACCACGGTTTTTTTTTTTTTTTTTTTTTTTTTTGAGACGGGGCCTTCCTTTGTCACCCAGGCTGGAGTGCAGTGGCACAATCAAGGTTCACCTCAGCCTCAGCCTCCTGGGCTCAAAAATCCTCCTGCCTCAGCCTTCTGAGTAGTAGCTGGGACTACTGGCATGCACCACCATGCCCAGCCCCATGGGTGTTTTTTTGTGCTAAGTACTTTCAAAACAGGAAGTCCAGTGTAACTCACCTGAGTCCCAAGTTAAGGATGTGGCAACAGCTGACCACACAAGACAGCTTTTCCTAAATGAATACAGAATGGGGCCCCCTCTCTCCTCCCCATCGGAGATGAACAGCTCAGCCACTCAGAAGGGTGCGTGGGACCCAACAAACAAAGAGCCATGTACATCTGGGTCCCGTTGGTCAGGTGCCGAGGACAGGAAGTGCCCTGGCATCTACTGGATGCCAGAAGACAAGACGTGGGACACAACTAAGTCATGGTTCCTGTGAGGTACTGGTGGCACTGGCACAGGGTCACACTGAAGAGCCTCCAAGCAGAGGAAGCACAGCCTCAGGAGGCAGTCTCAGATTTATTTATTCCTACTCAACATGACCCCGAAACACAGGAGCAACTCTGTACAATTCTAGAAACTCACAGCTAGCTCCAAAACAATAGAAATTTTAAACTACAAAAGATGAGTTATATTCAGCAAATATAAAGGGTAATTTTAGACTGTGTGAATGTTTATCAGACTATTTACAGCACCCGGAGACAGGTTCAGATCTCGCCGGCCTCCTTCTCTTCAGACCTCCGTGAAGCCATCTTCCCGTTGGAGCTCTCGAGCCTCCAGTCCGGGGGCCCCCGCTCACTCCGCCCGCTGTCCCAGGATGCCTCTCTAGATGCCCGTTCTCTGGAGAACCTGGGAAATGGGAACCAGAGGCTCAGTGGAGGCTGCTGCCCCACTTCCGCTGGCTGCTCAGGCACTGACAGTGGACCCGCAGACCAGGCCAGGGAAGGCCATCACCCCCTATACCTGGAAGCCCCCCGGAGGCCAACCAGACCTGCCCACCACATATGTAATGTTAGGTAGCCATTAAAAAGTGACCTCTGTAAAGAGTTTTAATAAGGAGAGCCTTCACTACAACATCAACGGAGCAAAGGAGAACACAACACTATGCTAAAACAAACACACACACACACACACACACACACACAATGGGAAAAAAATACCAAAAACAAAAATGAAAGCAGAGGTAAGCAGGGCATGGTCAGGACACTGAGGCTCTGCCACTCTGTGTATGGGCGCAACGGTGCGCAGGGCCAAGGGTGCAGGCTGGGGACACATGTACAGCTCCTGCGGTGTCACCTCGTGCTGCGCGAACTCCTCCACAGCCCTCTCGCCTCTTTCCAGACCTCAGAGTCCCGTTTATGACTCCCCAGCCCTATCCTGAGTGCCAGCCCAGGCCCATCCCCACCAGACACGGCCCCCAGCAGACCCTGGGAACACAGAGAAGGGCTCACTCCTGGTTGCAGCTACCGAAGGAGTCAGAGTAGTTACTTGTATTTCGCACTCCGGTCCCGGGAAGCCCGACGATGTCCCCGGCTGTGGCTCCGGGAACGGCTGCGGTGGCGCCTATGTCTATCTCGGGACCGGGACCGGGACAACTTCCGTCGCTCTCGGGAGGTAGATCTTGACCGCCTCCGACGCCGATCCCGGGAGCGTGACCTGAAAAATCAGAAGGTTCCAAGGCTGAGACTCCACAGGTGCCACCACCACCAGGGCCCCAGCCCTCAGCAGATTCCGCTCACTGCTTTACTGACATTCCCACTATTTCCCCAAATTTAACATATCTCCTTATCTCCAATGGTTAGACCCTTTCCAATGAGGCCTCCTGAAAACCTTGGCCTGGATACTCCTGCCACCCTGCAGGCCCCAACCTTCCCTCTCATTAACAATGGGAACCCTCTGTTGTACAACAACCCCTTGCCCTGTGCCCTCCACAAGCCAGCCCTCCTGCCAGACAACATTTGTAAAGGCATAAACATTAAATATTAAGAAAAAGGCTGACAGAAAAAGATATTTGACTGAGAGCACTTTAATGGATCTGGAAACCTACCTCCTGCGATCTCTGGTTCTTGATCCTGACCTAAAAAGGGAAAAAAAAAGATGAACCACTTCCCGACAGCACCCCTATTCCTCACCATCTGCGGGGAGGGCTCCAAATCTAATCCAAGAAGTGAGACATTTCCCCAAAGACCTGCTGTTTTTGAGCTGCCTTCATGTTTCCAGTCTGAATGGGCAGTGCCAATGTGGCCATCCCCACTGCCACTCTGTGGCACACTCAGTGGCACCTGAGCGTCACAGAGGGAACTACATCTGAGCGTAAGATTCTCCCGCCCAGCTCCTCAAGGTCCTGCTGCTCCCACTCCCACACCAGCACTGTTCTCCACAGCGCAGCAGGCACCACCCCTCCCAAGGAGCCATCCGACAGCCCCAGAGCACCCAGTAAGGGCCGTGGGAAATCGGTGCACACTAACGGTTAAGTGTGCTGCACCCAAGTCCTACAAATGCGTCTCCAGTCTTGACAACAGACATCAGCACAGAATGTGCAGGCGCTGAGTGGGGCACACCAAAGACAGCAAAGTGGAAGCAAAGCCCTCAGTTCCAGACGCAGGCTTCCTGCCACACAACCAGTCTGAGGAAGGTAAGCTAACAAGGCCTCATTCTATGCCCCTGCTAAGAATTAAGGTACAGCCATTAAGGTCAAGTGGCCCATGTACACCCACAACATACATGACCTAAACATGATCATGCATGTAAAAATGTCCAACTCCATGCAAAAAAATGGGAGCCTGTTTTGCTTAATATTGTTTCTATACTGTTTAAATCTTACAATAAAAATCTCCTGCTGGATAATTAAAACAACAAACACAATAAACAACATTCGCCCTGAGTTACACATTGAGTTCTTTCAGGAAAAGTGGTTTGGGAACCTTCCTGGACAGTAAGTTGTGTCCAAGAGGTTACTTCCGGCTCCCACCTCTTCTTTCAGCTCCAGTCAGACTCAACGCCCCCACCTCAAGATGGCCTCTCAAGCTGACTGTGGCCAGAAGCATGTGCCACTTCCATCCTTCCTCCTCCCACTCCAATACACCAGGCCCAGCCTTCCAAACTCACCAAGAAGCAACTCAAGGACAGAAGCCAGGAGCCAGCTTTGTTTCCTCCTCTGCGCACCTCACACACTAACAGCAGGTCCCATCAGCTCTATCCCAGAACTTTCCCAGACTCCTTCAGCCCCTTACCTGGCAAACTGCCACCTCCTCCATCTAGTTTCTCCTGCCCAGCTCCCCAAGGTCCTGCTGCTTCCACTCCCACACCAACACTGTTCTCCACAGTGCAGCAGGCACCACCCCTCCTAAGGAGCTGTCCAACAGCCCCAGAGCACCCAGTAAATCATCAGCAGTGCCACACACTGCCTCCAACAACTCAGAGCCCTTTCCTGACTGCCATGCACACACAGTCCTGGGCTGGGCTGTGTTTTGTTTTGTTGGACTGAATATGCTATGTGTTTACTTCTCTTTTTTGTTGTTGTTTTTTGAGATGGAGTCTTGCTTTGTTGCCCAGGCTGGAGTACAGTGGCACGATCTCAGTACACTGCAACCTCTGCCTCCCAGGTTCAAGTGATTCTCCTGCCTCAGTCTCCAGAGTAGCTGGGATTACAGACATGTGCCACCACATCCAGCTAATTTTTGTTATTTTTAGTAGAGACAGGGTTTCACTATGCTGGCCACACTGGTCTCAATCCCTGATCTCATGTACTCTGCCCGCCTCGGCCTCCCAAAGTGCTGGGATAAGAGGCATGAACCAGCGGGCCAGGCCTTACTTCTTTCTCTTATAATGGCCTATTGAGCAGGCCCAAACTATTCCAAGCAACTGTGGAATGGAGGCAGCAGGGGATACCTGAGGCTGGGGCAGCCCATCCAGTGCCAGCCCCCAGGCTCACCTCCTGCTCAGACGCTCCTCTCGCTCCCTCTCCTCTCTCCTCCTCAAGCGATCCTGATTTCTCTTCTCCTGCTTTTCAGCAACAGTTTTCTAAATAAATGAAACAGAAAAACGAGGGAAAAGCAAGTTACACAAAGCAGAGTGTGAACGCTAGTTAACAAAGCACCTTTATATGAGCTCAGTATCAGTAATTTAAAAAGTGAAGAGACATTTTTAGGAAATGGGAACACATTCATTTTTAATACTTCCTAACAAAGAAGGTAACACATGAAAAGATGGTTTATCATTACATTTTATTTACTTTTGTTTTGAGACAGAGTCTTGCTCTGTCACCAGGCTGGAGTACAGTGGCACAGTCTCGGCTCACTGCAATCTCCGCCTCCTGGATTCAAGCCATTCTTCTGCCTCAGCCTCTCAAGTAGCTGGGACCACAGGTGCGCACCACCATGCCCGGCTAATTTTTGTATTTTTAGTAGAGACGGGGTTTCACCATGTTGGCCAGGATGGTCTCAATCTCTTGACCTCGTGATCTGCCCACCTCAGCCTCCCAAAGTGCTACGATTACAGGCATGAGCCACCGTGCCCTGCCCCCCCCCCTTTTTTTTTTGAAGTCTTTGCACCCAGGCTAGATGGAGTGCAGTGGGGTAATCACGCTGTAGCCTCGACCTCCCAGGCTTAAGCAATCCTCTTTACCTCCAACTCCTGAGTAGCCAGTACTACTACAGGCATGTGCCACCATGGCCAACTAATTTTTAAAAAATTTGTAGGCTGGATGCAGTGGCTCACGCCTATAATCCCAGCACTTGGGGAGCTCGAGGCGGGCTGATTACAAGGTAAGGAGTTTGAGACCAGCCTGGCTACCACAGTGAAACCCCGTCTCTACTAAAAATACAAAAAATTAGCCAGGCATGGTTGCACACGCCTGTAGCCCCAGCTACTTAGGAGGCTGAGGCAGGAGAATCGCTTGAACAGGGAGGGAGAGGGTGCAGTGAGCCGAGATTGTGCCACTGTACTCCACCCGGGGTGACAGAGCAAGACTCCGTGTCAAATTTAAAAAAAAAAAAAAATTTTTTTTTTCCAAAAAGACGAATTTTTATTAAAAAAAAAAAAAAAAAAAAGATTTATACAGACAAGATCTTGCTATGTTGCCCAGGCTGGTCTTGAACTTCTCAGCTCAAGCAATCCTCTTACCCTGGGCTCCCAAAGTGCTGGGGTTATAGGCCTGAGCCACCCAGCCTATCACTACATTTTAACAATTTGGTAACACACTGTCCTATACTTCTAACTCACAAGGAATTGATCACATTGTTTCAAACCAACCCAGAAAGCTAGTTTATGGTAAAACAGAACAGAGATATCTGATGAAACACATCCTGCTACTGGGAGCAGAATTCCTGCTGCCAAAAAGCAGCCCAGCCTCAGGGTGCTGGGTGTCATGCTGGTTTAGACTAAACTGAGTTTGAGGACAGCAGGCCACGGGAGGTGGACCACATATCCTCTGCACCTGGCTTTGTTTTTTTGTTTTTTTTACTGGTTTGTCAAAAGCACCTGGCTTTCAACACCAGACGTCTTGAATCATCAGACTGATTATGAAAACCTTGTAAGGGGAGGAGGGTATGAGAAACCTCACCAATGAAAATACCATCAAGGCGAGCTTAGTGGAAAAGCACCAGCACCATTCTGTGCACCCCCGACTCCCAATATCAACTCCAAGCCATTTAATGCCCCACATCTCTGCCAAGTGAAGCCCTGAGTGAGAGCAAATCAGAGCCAATGAGACAAAGAATCACTAGTCTTCTCCACCCAGAGAGCTATGATGGCGTAAGGATAATCTCCATGCCCAGTTTGGATGAGAGCACATTCCCCAAAGCATGAGAGGGCACAGCAAGGGTGGAGAGCTGAGAGACCGGCACCTCCAGCTCTAAACCTTTGCCCATGCTCACGCTGTGTTTGGGACAGGGCACACATGGATGACATCTTTAAGGTTATGTTTAAGGATGGCATTAAAGCCAGGTACAGTGGCTCACGCCATCTCGGCACTCTCGGAGGCTGAACAGGTGGAATCATTTGAGGCCAGGTGTTTGAGACTTGCCTGGCAAACACAGTAAGACATTCCTGTCTTTAAAAAAAAAAAGGGGGGGGATGTAGGCAGCAAACCACCTTGCCATGTATTACCTACGCGACAATCCTGCATAATCTGCACATGTACCCCAGAACCTGAGGTACAATTAAAAAAAAAAAAATTCTCTTTCCAGCCAGCGCCAAGCATTGGGCATCTCTTGGGACAACTGGCACAAGCACTGCACGACCGGGGGCAAGAGAAAGCCCCACCACAAGAAGCGAAGTATGAGCTGGGGCGCCCGGCTGCTAACACCAAGATGGGCCCTGGCTGCATCCACACAGTCCATGTGCAGGGTGGTAACAAGAAATACCGTGCCCTGAGGGTGGACGTGGGGAGTTTCTCCTGGGGCTCTGAGTGTTGGGCTCAAAAAATAAGGATCATCAATGTTGTCTATAATGTGTCTAAGAACGAGCTGGTCGGTACCAAGACCCGGGTGAAGAATTCCATCGTGCTCATTGACAGCACACCACACCGACAGTGGTACAAGACCCACTACGCGCTGCCCCTGGGCCACAAGAAGGGAGCCAAGCTGACTCCTGAGGAAGAAGAGATTTTAAACAAAAAACATTCAAAAAACTCAGAAGAAATATGACGAAAGGAAAAAGAATGCCCAAATGAGAGTCCCCTGGCGGAGCAGTTCCAGCAGGGCAAGCTTCTCGGTGCATCGCTTCACGACGGGGACAGTGTGGCCGAGCAGACGGCTATGTGCTAGCAGGCAGAGTTGCAGTTCCAGCTCAGGAAAATCAAGGCCTGGAAAGGCAAATAAATGCTTGTTTTCTGTCTCCACCCATGTCATAAAGGTGTTTGTTCCATTCACAGAAAAAATTAGTCAGCCATGGTGGTGCGCGCCTATAGTCGCAGCTACTCAGGAGACTGAGGACAGAGGAACACTTGAGTCCAGGAGTTCCAGATTGCAGTGACAATAAGCTATCAGCTACCATCACATCACCACACCCCAGACTGGGTGACAGAGGGATACCCTGTCTCTTAAAAAACAAAACAAAACAAAACCCTCTGCTGTCCAGGTTGGAGTGCAGTGGCACGATCAGTTTACTGCGGCCTTGATCTCCAAGGTCCAAACAACCCACCTCAGCCTCCTGAGTGGAGTGGTGGGAACCAAAGGCACACACCTCCACGGTCGGCTAATTATTAAATTTTTGGTAGAGACAGCGTCTCCCCTTACATTGCCAGGCTGGTCTCAAACTCTTGAGCTCAATCAATTCTCCTGCCTTGGCTTCCTAAATGCTGGACTTACAGGCATGAGCCACCATGCCCAGCCTCAAGGATGTCATTTTTAAAGAAATTAAGGCTTGGTCAGGTGTGGTGGCTCAGGTGTAATCCCAGCACTTTGGGAGGCGGAGGCAGAGGCAGGTGGGCATCCCTAGGACTATTGTGAGTGCAGCCTCCTGTAATTAGGGCACAGGACTCATACTCTCCGTATCATTACGAGGTGTACTTCCAAAGACGTTCTGAGCTGTTACTTTCATAACTACTTATCAAAGTTTGTAATACAAGCTGTGTTGTTTTGGTCAACTCTATGCTACTCATAACTGCAATGATAAAACAAGCTCTCTAACCAAGTTAATGCTTCTTAAGACAAGGGAAAAACATTTCACTACATTCACATTTCTAATGCAGAAACACACACTAAGGAAATAAAAGACTTGCAGATGTAAAACAAACAAACAAAAAACACTACATTAGGGCCAAGCACTGTGGCTCACACCTGTAATCCTAGCACTTTGGGAGGCTAAAGCAGGTGGATTACCTGAGCTCAGGAGTTCGAGACCAGCCCAAGCAACATGGCAAAACCCCATCTCTACTAAAAACGTGAAAATTAGCCGGGTGTAGTGGGAAACACCTACAGTTCCAGCTACTTGGGACGCTGAGGCAGGAGAATCGCCTGAACCTGAGAGGTGGAGGCTGCAGTGAGCTGAGATCGTGCCACTGGACTCTAGCCTAGGTGACAGAGCAAGACCCTGCCTCAAAAAAAATAAAATAAAATAAAAAAACAGAACAAAAAACAAAAACCTACAGTAGGGCAAAATTCTGGGATATAAAATGAAAATTTAAAGGAGGAATGGGAAAGTAACATTTCCAACTGCTAGGAAGCAATTTTTTCTCTTTGAGACAAAGTCTCACTCTGTGGCCCAGGCTACAGTGCCGTGGTTCAATCTTGGCTCCCTGTAACCTCTGCTTCCCAGGTTCAAGTGATTCTCCTGCCTCAGCCTCCCGAGTAGCTGGGAATACAGGCACATGCCACCATGCCTGGCTAATTTTTGTGTTTTCAGTAGAGCCAGGGTTTCGCCATGTTGGCCAGGCTGATCTCGAACTCCTGACCTCAAGTGATTTGCCCTCCTCAGCCTCCCAAAGTGCTGGGATTACAGACAGGAGCCACTGCGCCCAGCCAAAAGCAAATTTTTAATGGGGTGGTAAATGCATACTAAATTGTAATTTATAATTCCATTGGATGCATACTTTTACATCTTTCATACCTATAAACTTATAAAGAAAAATTCCAACTCAAAAAAAAAAATGTGACAGAGTACACTGCTTTTCAAAATTCTCTCGGGAACAAAGCAAAATGTTTCAAGAGCAGAGGCTGAGAATAGCCTCACTGCTGTGCCAGCTCCTATTCCAGTCCCAGGTTCACACAATCACCTATGGGACCTTCCTCAGGTGCAGAGCCCTGGCACATGCTGCCTGAGTCAGCAGCTCCTTCTGGGGTACACAAGGCCCTCGGCCTTGGTCACTGAAGCATTCTGCAGTCAGGGGCAACATGTCTGTCCCTCCACTACATTTCAGTTATATGGGGGGATGGGAAGGGAGGGGCGGGGGGAAGGCTGGCTGATTTCCCACTATCCTATCCTGAGGTCTGAGTACGCAGCAAGAGAGGTTCCATCAGTGTGAAGGAAGACAATTCAGTCATGGAAACATGTCCAGCCTTCCTTCTTAGCATTCCGTACTTAAGTTTTTAAATGTCTCAGAGCCTTGAGAAAGGAACAGAGGCTGTCTCTGGGCCAGGATGGTACAATGCTATCAGAAAAACCCCATACTCACCTTGTGCTTCTGAGGTGGCTCACAGGCAAGGAGCCAGGATGTGTGATATTGTCTTGACCGACCACAGACTCTTTCTCATCTCCAAACAAGTAATTTCAGAGGTGCACGAGGAGCTGTATGTACCCCGGGAATAGGCTCTGCCATTTCCTTTTTTTTTTTTTGAGATGGAGTTTCACACTTGCTGCCCAGGCTCTCTTGGCTCACCACAACCTCAGCCTCCCCAGTGGATGAAATCACAGGCATGCACCACCACACCTGGTTAATTTTGTATTTTTAGTAGAGATGGGGTTTCTCCATGTTGGTCAGGCTGGTCTCAAACTCCTGACCTAAGGTGATCTGCCCACCTCAACCTCCCAAAGTGCTGGGATTACAGGTATGAGCCACCACGCCCGGCAGTGCTGCCATTTCCTTCTGTTAACAACAGGGTCCATACTAAATCTCCAAGGCCCCTTTGGTCTCTGAGCTATCATGTCTCTTGTGTGAACCCAAGTGACGAAATCTGAGAATTTCACTATAAAACTCAAGCTCTTGGAGATCAGAACGTAAGGTTTTTAAAAATTAAAGGAATGTAAAGACTCCCTAAGACAACTAAGCTTTCTCCAGAAACAGATGAACATACCCTTAACTGATCAAGCTTCTCTCGGATCTGAATGAACCCCAAGTGTAACTTGCCACCAAAGTGGTCTGCCAGGCGACGGTCATTGTCATGGAGACCAAGGTAGGCTGAACAGACCTCACAGACACGGAGCTTTTGCTGCTGAAAACTGGAAGCAGGCATAGAATTTCTATATTCTTCCTGGAGAAGAAAAATAGAAAGATAAAAGGCATACAGTCACCATGAATCCAATCTCCAAAATGTCAACATTTGATGACAGAGGTAATTTTTAAACAAATATTTAAAAAAACACAAACAAAACTCCAAATATTCATGACCAATTCAATTTTCACTATTTAAGAAATGCACTAACAGGCTGGGCTCCGAGGCTCACACCTGTAATCCCAGCACTCTGGGAGGCCAAGGCAGATGGATCACTTGAGGCCAGGAGTTCAAAATGAGCTGGGCCAACATAACAAAATCCTGTCACTACTAAAAATGTAAAAATTAGTCAGGCGCGGTGGCAGGCACCTGTAATCTCAGCTACCGGAAAGGCTGAGGCACAAGAATTGCTTAAGCCCAGGAGACAGAGGCTACAGTGAGCTGAGATTATACCACTACACTCCAACCAGGATGACAGACGAAAACGCTGTCACACACACAAAAAAACTGGCCAGGCTACAATGGCTCATGCCTGTAATCCCAGCATTTTGGGAGGCTAAGGTGGGTGGATCACGAGGTCAGGAGTTCGAGACCAGCCTGGCCAACACGGTGAAACCCCATCTCTACTAAAAATGCAAAAATTAGCCAGGCGTGGTGTTGCAAGCCTGTCATCCCAGCTACTCCAGAGGCTGAGGCAGGAGAATCACTTGAATCCAGGAGGCAGAGTTTGCAGTGAGCAGAGACCACACCGTGGCATTCCAGCCTGGGTGAGAAAGCAAGACTCTGTCAAAAAAATTACAAAAACTGGGTGGGCATGGTGGCGCGCGCCTGCAGTACCAGCTACTCAGGAGGCGAGGTAGAGGAATTGCTATAACCCGGGAAGTAGAGACTGCAGTGAGCCAAGATCATGCCACTGCACTCCAGCCTGGGTGACAGAGCAAGACTGAGTCTCAAAAAAAAAAAAAAGCATTCCAGGCTGGGTGCAGTGACTCATGCCTATCATCTCAGTACTTTGGGAGACTGAGCCCAGGAGTTTGAGACCTGCATGGGCAGCACAGCAAGCCCCAGTCTCTAAAAATAAAAAATTAATTAGCTGAATGTGGTGGCAAATGCCTGTAGTCCCATCTACTCAAGAGGCTGATTTGGAAGAACTGCCTGAGCCCAGGAGATCGAGGGGGCAGTGAGCTGTGACTGCATCACTGCACTTCACCCTAGACAACCCTGGGTGACAGCAAGACCCTGTCTCAAATATTAAAAAATAAAAGGTGGGGAGTGGATAAGAAAAAAACAAGAACTTGAATTTCCATTACAGTATACTACATTATCAACTGAAAAAAAACCGTAAGCAAAAACAATATTCTGTCCCCTTCTATAGTTTTTAACCTTGAATGCCACCCTCGTAACATCTTTCAAAATAAATGCTAATTATGTTGAGTAAAAAAAGTCAATCTGGAACTGGCGCAGTGGTTTACGCCTGTAGTCCCAGAACTCTGGGAGGCTGAGGCAGGTGGATCAGGTCAAAAGATCGAGACCAGCCTGGCCAACATGGTGAAACTCCGGCTCTACTAAACAGATGAAAATGAGCTGGGCGTGGTGGCAAGCACCTGCAGTCTCAGCTATTGGGAAGGCTGAGGCAGAACTGCTTGATCCCGGGAGGCAGAGGTTACAGTGAGCTGACATCGCGCCACGGCACTCCAACCTGGCCAGACAGCGAGACTCCGTCTCAAAAAATAAAAAAACAACTCCTTGAAGACAACACAGAAGATCTAGATCTAGATCTAGATGAGCTTATGTAGTAATCCCTTTTTTTTTTTTTTTTAACGAAACAGGTATTCTGGATCAGAAAGTAATGCCTTCTTACATAAACCATCAGAAGCATAATCCATGAAAGAAATAATTGACAAAATGGACTTCATGAAAATTAAACAGTTCTGGCCGGGTGCAGTGGCTCACAGCTGTAATCCCAGCCCTCTGGGAGGCTGAGGTGGGTGGATCACTTGAGGACAGGAGTTCCAGAGTGGCCTGGCCAAAATGGTGAAACCCCATCTCTACCAAAAATACAAAATATTAGCCAGGTGTGGTGGTGCACACCTGTAATTCCAGCTACTTGGGAGGCTGAGGCACAAGAATTGCTTGAAACCAGGAGGCAGAGGTTGTGGTGAGCCAAGATTGAGCCACTGCACTCTAGCTTGGGCAACAGAGCGAAACTGTCTCAAAAATTAAATAATAAATAAAACAATATGCCACTACACACCTATCAGAATAACAAAAACCACCATTAACTGCTGAAGATGACATGGAGAAACAGGAACAGAACTCTCCACCAAAAATACAAGTCAGCCAGGCACGGTGGCATGTGCCTGTAATTCCAGCTACCCAAGAGGCTGAGATAGGAGAATCATCTGAACCTGGGAGGCAGACTTCTCAGTGAGCCAAGGTCACACCGCTGCACTCCAGCCCGGGCGACAGGGTGAGACTCCATCTCAATCAAAATCAATCAATCAATAAAATAAAGAAAGAAAGCAAGCTTAGCTGGGTGTGGTGGCGGGAGCCTGTAATACCAGCTACCAGGGAAGCTGAAGCAGGAGGACTGCTTGATCCTAGGAGGTGAAGGTTGCAGTTGAGTTGAGATCATGCCACTGCACCCCTGCCTAGGTACAGAGCAAGCCTCCATCTCAAAATAAAAGCAAGTCTCATACGCTTTTCAAAAGTTTATAAATTTGTGTTGGGCAACATTCAAAACCGTCCTGGGCTGCATGTGGCCCATGGCCCTCAGGCTGGACAAGGTTACGGATTAATACTTATTTGTATATTTCATGTACTACATACTGTATTCTTACAATAAAGTGAGCTAAAGAAAATGCTATCTATAAGGAAAATGAAATACATCTGTAATACTGTGCTGTACGAATCAACTGTTTATATTGCTCATTTTTAACAGAAACTGTCTGTCTGAAATGGTGGCAATGCAACTACAGACCTCAACCTAATGTGCCTATCAAGCAATTCCACTCTTTCTTGTGCTATTGTGACCCTTCTTGCCTTCTAGGGAGCATTTTCAGCATTACTAGTGGCACTCGTCATACGGCTCCTACGGCATCACCCAAAGTTTACGGTATTGCAGCACTAAACACGACACCACCTGTTAATAAACTGTGGTAAGCAACATACTGGAGGTGAACTGCTCCTTCCAAGATGATTAGTGTTACACGGTGTTTCAAGTGGACGCTTGCAACACCTAAGCTCCACACAAGAGCAACAAGAGGTGGCATTAATTACTGCAGTAGTATACAGTGTACATTAGTTCTTCTTATGCAGGATTGATTTAATGCTGCACCTCTGCAGAATGTCTGTTCACATCTCTCAATGGCAAATGGTATCATGTACGGTCTGTAAGTGTTTGCACCTAAGTTTTTCTTTTTTAGAGACAGGGTCTTGCTATGTTGCCCAGGCTGGACTTCAAAACTCTTAGAATTAAAGGATCCTATCATCTCAGCCTCCCAAGCAGCTGAGACTAAAGCCAAGAGCCACCATACCTGGCTATATGCGTAAGTTTTGATGTTACCTTTTCATAATACATTTGTACATATTTCATGGTACAAATAAAAAAATCTAGTATCCACATATATTTTATGTATTCCTGACATATCTAACATTTTCTACAGACTTTGGGTGATAATGATGTGTCAATGCAGACCCACTGATTGTGGGGGATGCTCGTAATGGAGGAGGCTGTCTGAGGAGGGGGTACATGGAGAATCTCTGTACTTTCTTCTCAATTTTGCTATGAAGCTAAAACTGCTTGAAAAAACAAAGTTCATAATTTCTTTCTAAATGCAAGCAAGTATGGCTTAAATTAATTCAAACAGTCAACTCTTCCAAATTACTAAGATTTCTCTTTCCCTAAGACATTTCTCTCACCAACCTCAGCTTCTTTTTTCTTTGCACGAACTTTTTCCACTTCCATAAGAATCTTCTGGGATTCATCCACATTACCTTCAGCCCCCAGCTGTTCAGCTTTAGCAAGGAGTTTTCCTATTTCTTCATTTAACTCATGTACTTTTTCTGCCTGTGAGGAGAAAAAAATCAGGTAAGCAGACATCTAAAAATGAAAGTGAATGCAAAGGAAACAAGGGTTTCTCCTGCTCCATTTCCACTCTGTTCTACTGAAAATAAATGGACCATCTAAAGATCCACACTTAAGGCCGGGCGTGGTGGCTCAAGCCTATAGTCCCAGCACTTTGGGAGGCCGAGGCGGGCCGATCACCTGAGGTCAGGAGTTCAAGAGCAGCCTGGCCAACAAGGTGGAACCCCATCTCTACTAAAAATACGAAAATCAGCCAAGCATGGTGGTACGCGCCTGTAGCAGAAGAATCACTTGAACCTGGGAGGCGGAGGTGGCAGTGAGCTGAGGTCGAGCTACTGCACTCCAGCCTGGGCGACAGAGCGAGACTTTGTCTTTAAAAAAAAAAAAAAGGGCCAGGCGTGGTGGCTCACGCCTGTAATCCAAGCATTTTGGAGGCCAAGGTGGGCGGATCACCTGAGGTCCGGAGTTCAAGACCAGCCTGACCAACATGGTGAAACCCCGTCTTTAAAAAAAAGATCCACACTTAAGAATTAAGGCATCATTATTGCCAGCATTGAGAGTATAACCGTAAATTAATCCCATGTGCTGTGTTCCAATGAAACCAATAACACCTTTGTCACTTCCAACATAAGTCTCAAGGATCAATGAGGACGTCTCTTTTTATGACTTTTTTCTTCTCAGTATGGATAACAAAGTGTCTAGGTTTAAATGCACAAATATATGCTATAAGCAAAATACCTAATTACTGAGATTTATCTTCTGAAACAAAATAGCACCTTTGGTCACAATAGCAATTGCATAAATCCTAAGAAATGCTTTTACAAAATTGAAAAGAAGAAACAAGGAGAGACTCCGTTCCACTGAAGAGAAAAAGCAAGTGTGATGTAGCTGGCACTCTAGTTACATACAAACCTACCCCATTCTTCATTCTGTCATACGGATGTGCCACAGTCTGACCATTTCCTTAGTAATTCTTTCCAGTTTTATGTGGCAATGTTAAAGTTTAAAATAACATGTAAAGGCTGGGTACGCTGGCTCACACCTGTAATCCAAGAAGTTTGGGAGGACAAGGCCGGCAGATCGCTTAAGCCCAAGAGCTCGACACCAGCCCAGGCAACAGGGACTCCATCTCTTTTTTTTTTTTTAAAAAGACAGTAATTTTTTTTTCATTGGAGGCAGAGTCTCACTCTGTCATCCAGACTGGAGTACGGTAGCTTGATCATAGCTCACCAAAGCCTCAACCTCCCCAGGCTCAAGTGATCTTCCCCCCGAGCCTCCTGAAGAACTGGGGTACACATGTGCACCACCAAGGGTAGCTAATATTTGTATTTTTTGTAGATGGGGTTTCGTCATGTTGCCCAGGCTGGTCTAGAACTCCTGCGCTTAAGTAATCTGCCCACCTGGGTCTCCCAAACTGCTAGGGTTATAGTGTGAGCCACCAAACTCAGCAAATCTTACATTCAAGTTTTAAAAACATTAATAATAAAACCAGGTACAGAGGAGGAAAATGGACAGAAGAAAAAGACAGAGGCAGCAGCTCCTGCGGGATGAGAATGACACATGAATGCCTGATTACAGCGCTCTGTCCTTAACTGGAAAAAGGCAGAGAATACTGAGTTACTGTCCACCCAATCAGTGCTGAGGGTGAGTTAACAGCTACTGACAACCCAGTATTTGCAAGAACATAATGGGTAGCAAAGTCACCGTCACCCAAGCGTACCTTTGCAGAAACTTCTGCACTGATCTCCTCCTGTGTTTCTGCCAGTCGTTTCTTGGCAAGCTCGGTTCTCCGATCACATTCCGCGATAAAGGACTCCAAGTGATCCATTGCCTAGCACGGGAAAAGCAGATGCTGTCATCAACTATGTGTAAAGCAAAAGTCCTGGAGCCCATTTGCTTGATAGGAAATACACTCCTGGTTTCGTTTCTTTAAAGCCTGTAGATTAAACGGGAAGATCGTAAACTACACTACTGCTAACACATTCACAATCGCATTAAATCAAGGGGGTCTGGTAAACAGAAAGAATGATTGGAAGCATGGTCTTCTCATCTGATTTAAAATTTCCAAAATCTGTAAAAGGACCTCGACCCTCAATAACATTACAAAGAAATTTTGAGGAAAATTAAAACACTTTGCAGCAATTCAGAGCATTGTCAGAGGGACAGAAAGGCTGAGCCTAGACTAGTGGTGAAGGCCCTCTTCCGGGGAGTCGTGAGAGATGCGTATGATGTACTCACTGGTCTTTGTGAGCCACGTAAATATTATTCCCTCATGTTCTAAGGGTAGGGTCCCCCCTTTCACCTCAAAAACAAAACAGAACAAACATTACTGAGATCTATGAATACATTTCGTTACTGCCTACTGTCTAAAGTAGTAGGAAAACCTGGTTGCTATTTACCCAAAGAGATAAAGGAAAAGAAACTCAGACGTGGAAGTGCTAACCCTGAAAAGGGTTGGTGTAAAACAGTAAGAGAACTATCATATGCTAAAGTTAATTCACCATAACTAGGCAAAGGCCAACATAATTTCAGATAAAAATACAGACAGGGCCAAGCGCAGTGGCTCACACCTGTAATACCAGCACTTTTGAAGGCTGAGGTGGGCGGATCACTTGAGGTCAGAAGTTCGAGACCAGCCTGGTCAACGTGGTAAAACTCTGTCTCTTAATAAAAATGCAAAAATTAACCAGGCGTGGTGGTGGGTGCCTGTAATCCCAGCTACTCAGGAGGCTGAGGCAGAAGAACCACTTGACCCTAGGAGGCAGAGGTTGCAGTGAGCCAAGACTGTGTCACTGTACACCAGCTTGGGCAACAGAGCAAGACTTTGCATCCAAAAAAAAAAAAAAAAAAATACCCCAGTCCTACTAAAAATACAAAAATTAGCCAGGCATGGTGCTGTACACCTATAGTCACAGCTACTCAGGAGACCGAGGCAGAAGAATCCCTTGAACTCAGGAGGGAGAGGTTGCAGTGAGCCGAGATGGCGCCACTATATTCCAGCCTGGGTAACAGAGTGACAATGAGTCTCAAAAAAAAAAAAAAAAAAATACAGACAGGCCCTCACTTTTCCAACTGTCAGCCACTGACCAGGTAAGAAACACTTAACATTATACTATAAGTCAACTTTCTAATGTCAGCATCAGATTAAATGCAAGTTTGTTCTGCAATGAGGACAGGTTTAGACAGCACAACCTTTTACCAAAAACAAAATTTTAGGTAGAGATGAGAAGGCAGATGACAGGAGAACACTAAGGGGTGATAATCTGTATCACCACTCCCAAAATGAACAGGTGAGTAGGTCATCTGTAATAAACTGCTCCACAAAGATCTGGAATGGATCAAAAAGACACTGGAGGAGGTTATAATCTTGCCTAGAAATCTTAAATATTTTTTTCAAAAACATGCATATTTGGGAGTAGGTCAAGACAGGGAAGAAGCTCCAAGTCTCCTGGTGCCCAGTCTCCTAGGAAGCTGGAGAAAGGACAAGCAGCATCATTCATGAAGGCTGACTCCTAGATATCACTCCATAATTTTGGAATTCAAAAACTGCCTCTTGGCCAGGCACAATAGCTCATGCCTGTAATCCCAGAACTTTGGGAGGCTGAGGCAGAAGAATCACTTGAACTTGGTTTCGTTTCTTGAAAGCCTGTAGATTGAATGGGAAGATCTTAAATGGGAGGCGGAGGTTGCAGTGAGCTGAGATCATGCTACCGCATTCCAGGCTGGGCAAAAAGAGCGTGACTCCGTCTCAAAAAAATAACAAACTGCCTCTTGTTGGTTACCCAGATATTCTCTAGTAAACATTTCAGAAAGCAAATGATCTGGCATTTGACTGCTTATATGCACCTGTACATTGGACTTGCTGGAAAGATGAAAGAGATGGCTGGAGCTCATCAGGATCCGAGGACTAAGGAGCTAATAAGGGTCACTGTGCCTTCTCTTCTGCGCCTACCTCAGACAGCAGCCCCTAACAGACCAGTCTGAGACGCCCCAGGTTCACCCAAACAGTGGCTCTCTACTGTCTGCCCAAGCAGAGTGATCACCCACTCACCTGAGAAAGACTCAGGAATTCACTCATGAGGCGTCAAACAGGAAATAGGCAGCTGACAACTCCGCCAATACCTTAACCAATCAAAGCCATTCCCTGCACCTTAGGCAGAATCCAAACCGGCTATGGACTCAAGTGTCTGATAACCTAAAACTAAATGGTAGGCCAGGCTCAGCTCTTTGGGAGGCCAACACGGATGGATCACCTGAGGTCACCAGCCTGGCCAATGGGGTGAATGAAACCCATCTCTACTAAAAAGGTAAAAAAAAAAGGCTGGGCATGGCGGCTCACACGTGTAATTCCAGCATTTGGGAGGTCAAGGTGGGCGGATCACAAGGTCAGGATTTTGAGACTAGCCTGGCCAAGATGGTGAAACCCTGTCTCCACTAAAAATACAAAAATTAGCCTGGCATGGTGGCAGGCGCCTGTAATCCCAGCTACTGCAGAGGCTGAGGCAGAAGAATCACTTGAACCTGGGAGGTGGAGGTTGCAGGGAGCCAACACCATGCCACTGCAGTCCAGCCTGGCTGACAGAGCAAGACTCTGTCTCAAAAAAAAAAAGGGGTGGGCATGGTGGCTCACGCCTGTAATCCCAGAACTTTGGGAGGCTGAGGCAGGCAGCTGATGAGGTCAGGAGTTCGAGACTAGCCTGGCCAAAATAGTGAAACCCCATCTCTACTAAAAACAGAAAAAATTAGTTGGGTGTGGTGGCAGGCGCCTGTAATCCCAGTTACTTGGGAGGCTGAGGCAGGAGAATAGCTTGAACCCAGGAGGCGGAGAATGCAGTGAGGCCATTGTACTCCAGCCCACGGAACAGTGTGAGACTCTGTCTCAAAAAAACAAAAAGAAAGAAAGTCAACCCAACCTGTATATCTTTCAGAGTGGTGCTATGAAATATAAATCCTAAAAGCACCTAAGCATGACAGCACCAGCACAAAGGCCTCAGTGTCTTAATAGTATGGCAAAATTGGGCACTATGAGCAACTGTCATCTCTGCCGAGGATGTTGTCCCTCCACACGTGGACTGTCTGGTACCATTCCCAGCTCTCCCGGCCCAGCAGCAAGGACACAGGCCAGAGATCACTGAGCCCAATAAGCCCATGCCATCAGTCAGAACTGTCAAAGCAAACAGGTGCCCTTGCGCTGCGCTGTGTGCGTGCACCACACACCTCAAAACAGCCGCAGAGGAACTTGCTAGATCTCTATTGTGCAGATGAAACTGAAGTACAGCTGCCCAACTACTCAGTGAGCAATGGAGTCAGGATGCAAGGACCCTTGTGGTTGGCTCCAAAGATCCTGTACTTCATCCTCACAAATCTGAGGCAGCCATTGTCAGCCCAATTTAGAGAGACTAGAAGACGGTGAAATAACTTGCCCAGGGTCACACAGGGACTCTAACCCAAGACACTTGACCTAGAAAAATCTATTACACTGGACATCTGTAAGACAGAAAAACTACATAGAATCGGAACTGGTCTCATGTGGTATTCTAAAAACAGCTTTGAAATGAGCCCATCTGTGTTGTTCTGAAAATGTGTACAACATCACATAGCCAGACAGCATGGGGGAAAGGGTTAGTTACACTTTTGCTGAAGTACAAAAACACATTCATTATATTTTCAACATGTGAACACTAAAGAAATATACCTTTTTGAATTTTTTTTTCCCTTTTTATTCCAGAGAGGATCTTTCTCTGTCACCCAGGATAGAATGCAGTGGCACAATCAGGGCTCACTTTAGCCTCTCACGCTCAAGCCATCCTTCCATCTCAGCCTCCCAAGTAGGTAGAACTATAGGAACACGTCACTAGGCCCAGCTAAAATTTCTGATTCTGTAGAGACTTGCCCAGGCTGATCTCGAACTCCTGGGTTCAAGCAGTCTTCCTGTCTCCACCTCCGAAAGTACTGGGATTATGGGTGTGAGCAAACACCTGGCCATCTGTAACTTTTTCAGAGCTTAATCTGATTACTATTGCTGTTTGATAAACTTGGTTTATAGATTACCTTATAACAAATACAGCACACATCCTTTCCTAGGCAACTTCCAGATAAAAGAAATAAAGGCCTGGCTCTGTTGTGGTCAGGCTGAGGCTGAATCAGGCTGGAAGGAGCCAATGATGGGGATATGGAGGCATCTTCTCCCAGGTGAAACAACTGAGTTCTGGGTAGATGCCTGGTAGAAATGTTCCAGGAGTCTGATCCACCAAGCTCACTGTGATGGTCTAGGCAGAAAATCAAGGCCCACAAATGTATTTTTTTTTTTCTGAAGGGGAGGGAGGTGAGGGGGAGACACAGTCTCACTTTGTCACCCAGGCTAGAGTGTAGTGGCACCATCTGAGCTCACTGCAACCTCCACCTCCTGGGTTCAGCAGTGCCCATGCCTCAGCCACCCAAGTAGCTGGTATTACAGCCATGTGCCACCACACCCAGCTACTTTTTGTGTTTTTAGCAGAGAAGGGGTTTTGCCATATTGGCCAGGCTGGTCTCAAACTCCAGGCTTCAAGTGATCCACCCACCGTGGCCTCCCAAGGTGCTGGGATTACAAGAGACACTGCCCCCAGCCTATAAATGTCTTTTTTTTTTAAAACCTCTGATTGGCAGAACCAAAACTTTGGTAATTCATTGTTAGCACAGACATTAAAGAAAAATGGGCCGGGCCCGGTGGCTCAAGCCTGTAATCCCAGCACTTTGGGAGGCCGAGGCGGGTGGATCACGAGGTCAAGAGATCGAGACCATCCTGGTCAACATGGTGAAACCCCGTCTCTACTAAAAATACAAAAATTAGCTGGGCATGGTGGTGCACGCCTGTAATCCTGGCTACTTGGGAGGCTGAGGCAGAACTGCCTGAACCGGTGTGGATCACAAGGTCAGAAGACTGAGACCATCCTGGCCAACATGGTAAAACCCTGTCTCTACTAAAAATACAAAAATTAGCTGGGCACAGTAGCACCTATCTGTAGTCCCAGCTACTCCAGAGGCTGAGACAGAAGAATCACTTGAACCCAGGAGGTGGAGCCTGCAGTGAGCCAAGATCACACCACTGCACTCCAGCCTGGTGACAGACACTCCATCTCCAAAAAAAAAAATGATGTATTCTTGATGGGGGCAGGAGTGAACACTAATTTTAAAGAATAAAAAAATACCATATATCACAATGGTCTATGGCCCAGAAAAAAAATCACAGTACATAAACAAATATGCAGGTTGTTCCTTTAGGAATGCAGTGGGCCTCTGGGGGGCGGGGGGGTGGAATATATATATATATATATGCAGGTTGTCTGTGATATCAAAATTTCATGGGGAGGGTGAAATGGGACAATTAGAAGAAAAAGTTTAAAAAGGCTCCTCTGGGAGCAACAATGAAAAAAGCTGAAACTGCTACCCTAATGGATTTACCGGCCAGGCACAGTGGCTCAGACCTGAAATCCCAATACTTTTGAGAGTCTGAGGTGGCAGGACCACTTGAGGCCAGGGAGTTTGATAGCAGCCTGGGCAACACAGTAAGACCCTGGTCACTACAAAAAAACAAAAACAAAAAAAATAGCTGGGTGTGGTGGCACACACCTGTACCCCCAATTATTCAGGAGCCTGAGGCAGAGGTATCACCGAGCCCAAGAGGTCAATGCTACAATCACGCCAATTCCCTCCAGCCTGTGTGACAGAACAAGACCCTGTCTCAAAAATTAAATAAACAAACAATTAGCCACAAATGGTCATGTGCATCTGTAGTTGTAGATATTCAGGAGGCTGAGGAAGGAGGATCGCCTGAGCCCAAGAATTCAATTACTGCCTGCTATAATCTTTGAGTAACAGAGTGAAACCCTATCTCAAAAAAAAAAAAAAGGATTTACTAATGCAGATAAAACATCACCACTACCAAATACTAAGAAATGTAAATAAGAGGCCGGGGGCTGGTGGCTCACGCCTATAATCCCAGCACTTTGGGAGACCAAGGCGGGTGGATCATAAGGTCAAGAGATCGAGACCATCTTGGTCAACAAGGTGAAACCCCTGTCTCTACTAAAAATACAAAACTTAGCTGGGCATGATGGTGGGTGCCTGCAATCCCAGCTACTCATGAGGCCGAGGCAGGAGAATTGCTTGAACCCAGGAGGCGGAGGTTGCGCTCCAGCCTGGGTAACAAGAGCAAAACTCCGTCTCAAAAAAAAAAAAAAAAAGAAATGCAAATTAAAATCATAATGAAATGCCATTTTACAACCACTAAACTGTAAAACTTAAATAGTCTGATAAAACAAAGCATTGGTTAAAGTGTACACACTGCTATGGGGTGAAAATTTACACAGAGACTTTATCGAATATAAACAAGACAACACTACAAAATTGTTTTGCAAGGATGAATGTGCGTCTCCCCCATAAACCAGCAATTCCTCTCCTAGGAATCTACCCAAGATAAATCTTTATACACGTGACAAATATATTCAAAAATATTCATATTGCCTGCAATAACAAAACCAGACTCGATCTAAACGTCTATGAATAAAGAAAGGATCTTTTGAGAATTATTCAAGCAGCAATGAAAACAAACCACATGTAACAACCTGGGTAAACAGAAACATAATACTGAATGAAAAATATCTCATTTTAAACACTCTAACACTATGAAACCACTTTTTTTTTTTTTTGAGACGGAGTTTCACTCTCGTTACCCAGGCTGGAGTGCAATGGCACCATCTCGGCTCATTGCTACCTCCGCCTCCTGGGTTCAGGCAATTCTCCTGCCTCAGCCTCCCGAGTAGCTGGGATTACAGGCACGCACCACCATGCCCAGCTAATTTTTTTTGTATTTTTAGTAGAGACGGGGTTTCACCATGTTGACCAGGATGGTCTCGATCTCTTCACCTCGTGATCCACCCGCCTCGGCCTCTCAAAGTGCTGGGATTACAGGCTTGAGCCACCGCGCCCGGCCCGAAACCACTTTTATAAAGCCCAAAACTAAGCAAGAACAAACACTGTTCAAGGACTCAGAAAAATGTAACAAATATTTAAAAGCAACAAAGTGAGATGACGCATACTAACATTTGTGACAGTGGTATGTAGCGGTGCGGGCTGCTCTAGCTCTCAGCTTGAGTGGCAGGATAACAGGCATCAACTTGATTATTTTGCTGCACAACTTACGTATGTTACATTATTCTTGTTAGTTCAATATTGGGTTCTCCGCAGTACGAATAAATCAACACTAAATAAAACTCACATCCAATTCAAAAAACAGGTCTCTTTCTTTACTTGCAATCTCATAATCTGCTCGGAGGGCCAAGTCGTGGATTTTGGTACATTCTCCTAAATCCATGCGCTGTAGAAAGGAAACGAAAAATACATGAGTGCCTACCTACAGTAAAAAGCACATAACAGGACTTGGTTTTGCAACTGTCACCAAAATAAATGATCATTTTTTGGAATACTGAAACTATAACAAGAAAATTAAGAAAGGGGATATGGCTGAGAAGCCTCCCTTCGCTTTTACCGTCGTTACCACGTGATTCTTGAAACTGATGCATTAACAGTGTAGTAAGGTTTCTATTTCTTTTAGACCCAAAGGTAACTGGACTGTAATCAAGACAACTAAATTAACTGGCTTTTGCCGCTTTTTTTTTCTTTTGAAACGGAGTCTCACTCTGTCACCTAAGTTGGAGTTCAGTGCCGGGATCTCAGCTCACTGCAACCTCTGTCCCCCAGGTTCAACCAATTCTCCTGCCTCATACTCACAAGTAGCTGGGAGGATTACAAGCTCCGGGCACCATGCCCAGCTAATTTTTTTTTTTTTTTAAGTACAGATGGGGTTTCATAACATTGGCCAGGCTGGTCTTGAACTTCTGACCTCAAGTAATCCACCTACCTTAGCCTCCCAAAGTGCTGGCATTACAGGCATGAGCCACCACACCAGGCCAGTTTCATTTTTGCATCAGTCCAAGGATTCAGTAAATGTAGCATGTAGGATGGTGAGGATAGGAAAGAGCCACGGCTGGGCACAATGGCTCACACCTGTAATCCCAGCACTTTGGGAGACCAGCCTGGCCAACATGATAAAATCAAGCCTCCACTAAAAATGTAAGAATTAGCCAAGTGTGGTGGTGGGCACCTGTAATCCCAGCTACTCAGGAAGCTGAGGCACGAGAATCACTTGAACCTTCGAGGTGGAGGTTGCAGTGAGTCGAGATCGCACCACTGTACTCCAGCCTGCCTGGAAATAAGAGCCAGACTCTGCCTCAAAAAAAAAAAAAAAAAAAAAAAAAGGAAAGGGGCAGAAAACAGTCTCACTGCAACAAGTCTGTAGGCATTCTGTCTTGCAATCTTGACTACTCGAGATGCTTGACGCCTAAGATGCAGAGACAGAGGAAAAGGAAAGAGCAGACAGAAGTTAGGTTTTGGCAATTATATCAGAAACTAACACCTGGCTTTGTGGAGCCGCTTGTCTATCAAAGGGAATAAAGTAGAACAGCCTGGTTCATAGCCAAGCGAATCTTCTACACGTTCTCCTGACCTGGGAAATAACCCTGAACATAAAAGTGGGGACAGATACTTGTCCCACTCAGTTCCCTTGTTTGACAAACAAAATGTTCCTTTACTAAAACAAAATGACCTATGTTGTAAGATTAGCGTGATGTACTATTATGTGTACCACATGCAGCACGATTGGACAACAACGTATGATTTTAATCTAAATCCTAAGTATAGGACTGCACGCAGACACCTTCTGCTTCCGGCCAAATCTACATATAGGGAAGTTTGTGGGCTGAGGATCATGGTGACAAGTTATAAAGAGCATGTTAACAAAACTCAACATCCCAATTAGGAGACACCCCCAATAGGAAAAATTAACATGTCTACATAACCAGGAAGAAAAAAAAAAAAATGATGTTGGGACCAGCTGCGGTAGCACATGTCTGCAATCTGAACACTTAGGGAGGGCAAGCTGGGGAGATCACTTGAACCCAGGAGTTCGATGTCAGCCTGGGCAACATAGTGAGACCGCCTCTATAAAAAAATTAAAAATTTGGCCGAGCAACCGAGAGCAGTGGTTCACACCTGTAATCCCAGCACTTTGGGAGGCCGAGATAGGCATATGACTTAAGGTCAGGAGTTCAAGATCAGCCTGGCCAACATGGCGAAACCTCGTCTCTACTAAAATACTAAAAATAGCCGGGCATGATGGCAAGTGCCTATAATCCCAGCCACTCAGAAGGCTGAGAAAGGAGAATCACTTGAACCCAGCCGACAGTGGTTGCTGTGAGCCGAGATCACGTCACTGCACTCCAGCCTGGGTAGCTGAGTGAGACTCCGTCTCAAAAAAAAAAAAAAGAAAATTTGGCCGAGCGCAGTGGCTCACACTCATCATCCCAGCACTTTGGGAGGCCAAGGAGGGCAGATCAGGAGGTCAGGAGTTCAAGACCACCCTGTCCAATATGGAGAAACCCCGTTTCTACTGAAATACAAAATTAGCCTGGCACGCTGGCATATGCCTATAATCCCAGCCACAGGGGAGGCAGAGGTTGTGATGAACCGAGATCATGACACTGTACTCCACTCTAAACAAAAAGAATAAAACTGTCTCCCAAAAAAGGGGGGGCGGGTAGGGGGGCACGCATGGTGGCTCATTCCTGTAATCCCAGCACTTTGGGAGGCCAAGGGAGGCAAATCACAAGGTCAGGGGTTTGAGAGCAGCCTGGCCAACATGGTTAAATCCTGTTGCTAGTAAAAATACAAAAATTAGCTGGGCGTGGTGGCAGGCACCTGTAATCCCACCCACTTGGGAGGCTGAGGCAGGAAAATCGGTTGAACCCAGGAAGCAGAGGTTGCAGTGAGCTGAGATCATGCCACCGCACTCCAGTCTGGGCAACAGCATGAGACTGTCGCAAAAAAATAAAATAAAAACAACGACAAAGAATTTGGGGAAGAAAATGTACCTTCCTAGATCAAAAGTCTTCCACACACTCTACTTGAGGTCAAAAATCAAACCCATGCAGAATCTTCAAAGAACTACAGGCTGACCTAAAACATATTTTTTGCTACAACCAAAGTAAGAGTACTTGTCCTAGGCCAGGCACAGTGGCTCACACCTGTAATTCCAGCACTCAGGGAGGCCAAGGCAGGAGGATCACAAGTCAAGATTTTGAGACCAGTCTGACCAATATAGTGAAACCCTGTCTCTATTAAAATACAAAAGTGAGGCCAGGCACGGTGGCTCACGCCTGTAATCCCAGCACTTTGGAAGGCCGATGTGGGTGGATCACAAGGTCAAGAGATCGAGACCATCCTGGTCAACATGGTGAAACCCTGTCTGTACTAAAAATACAAAAACTTAGCTGGGCATGGTGGCGTGTGCCTGTAGTCCCAGCTACTCGGGAGGCTGAGGCAGGAGAATTGCCCGATCCCAGGAGGCGGAGGTTGCGGTGAGCCGAGATCGCGCCATTATACTCCAGCCTGGGTAACAAGAGTGAAACTCCATCTCAAAAAAAAAAAAAAAAAAAACAAAACAAAAGTGGTGGTGTACACCTGTAGTCCTATGTGCTCGGTCGGGAGGCTGAGGCAGAATTGCTTGAACCCAGGAGGTGGAGGTTGCAGGCCAAGATTGCGCCACTGCATTCTAGCCTGGGCAACAGAGCGAGACTCCATCTCAAAACAAAACAAAACAACAATAACAACAAAAAAGAATACTTGCTACTTGCCCTATTTAGCTGTGAATATCTCACTATAAACGACTTTACAAAGAAAATCTAGTAACTTTGCAGACAGAATTTTACAAGAGTGAGATTTGTTCTATAATATAAATTCCTACCAAATGAACAGAATCTTTCATTTTAAGGGCATCAGGGATTTCTGCCGGTTAAAGAGTGGAGGACTGAGCCAGGAGAATGGTTCATGCCTGTGGTCCCAGCTCCTCAAGAAGCTGAGGTCGGAGGATCACTGGAGCCCAGGAGTTCGAGGCTGCAGTGAGCTGCGACTGCACCATTACACTTCAGCCTGAGCAATACAGAGTGAGACTCCATTACATGTATGCATGCATGCATACACATATATGAGTAGAGGATTACCTGCTGTAACTCAGCCGCTTATAGAAAAACAAACTTACGGTAAAACAATATTCAACTTAAAAACCTTCAGTGCCTACACAGCACTTATGACAGAGTCTTCTATGAGGTCCTCCAAAATGCACCTACCGTCCCAGCCAGGATGTCATGGGGGCAGCAGTCCAGCAGGTGACTCTTGCAGACACGGTCATCTGTAAACTTGACCCTCTGTCTGGTTTCATCTCCTGAAATTCATTTGTGGTTTTAAATAAGACAATATTATCCATTAACCACAAAAAGAACCAATATAACAATTCACCTGGATGATTTGCAGACTATCATTTCTGTGTTCTCCCCATCAAATACAATGAAAAGCTGCTTTAAAGATATTTACAACTGCAGTGGAATGCACTTTTTTTTTAGGCTAATTATATCATGAAGAATCGCACTTAATGAGATCTGACTCCATCATTGTACCAAAGTCAAGGAGTCAGACATAAAGGGCTGAGCACCAAAAGGCCACTGGCTCCACATATACATGTGGCAATGATATTCCACAACCCAAGCTAATCAGAGGTCCATGAACCACCAAGGGTGCATTTTAGAGCTGGTAATTTCCACCAACAAAAGCTACTTATTAATCTTTTTGTTACGAACTAATGCAGAGGCAGTGTTTTGCCCAAAATTGAATGAAGAAGAAAGCTTTCAAACACTATGGAAGGCTCTTAAATAATCTAAATCTATTCTTCCTATGTCCCTTTTGTCCCCACCCTTAAAAAAGAGAGTTGCTACCTGGGAGTCACTTTTAACAAGACAATACCAAAAAAAGAAAAAAGGAACTAGGTTAGTCAATACACACTGTGAGCTCCAACACATACTGTACCCATCTGCATTCTTCAAGACCTCAGCTGCAGAATTTTATGCCCGCTGTTGAAAAGTGTTAAAGGAAAAGTTTTCTTGCCCACACCTGCAGTAAGGAAGTCGGGGAATGATACATGAAAGTAAAGGCAAACTGGTATGTGACAAATCTTAAAAGCCAGTCTGTGTGTACAACACAGAGCTGTGCAACACTAGAGGAATATCTTTCAGGATTTGCAAGCATCCAGGATTAATGTAGTGTCCTTTTATTGAAAATGTTTTCTTTCTAAACTACACTTTTAAAGTTACTCGTGAAAAAAAGCAAACACTTTTTTGTTATAACAGCTTAGAAATTGGTTGTGACTCACGGCTCGATGAACATGAGGCTTTCTGCAACTCCCTTGCAGATTGATGTAGGCAGGCAAAGATACACTGAACCTTTATAAATAAAATAGAGGGGCCACAATTGTTCAGTTTGTATGAAATAAAAATATGGGAAGCAATTCAAAAGCAACTCAATATACAAAGAAAGCTAAAAAGCACTTAGTCACCTATGAAATAAAGTGCAAATAATCTGCACAGCCCTGAGAATGTGCCAGTGTGAACTTACAACTTCATTACTTCAGTAGAAAAGAAGGACAACCATCACGATGTTGAGCTCCTCCCTGCACAGCACAACCTACCTAACGGCTGCCAAGAGCTGGCTACACAGAGGCTCTCCTGTGTGCTGGGGGGAAGGGGGAGCTGGAAAAGCGCTCGGCAGGACCCGCGTTAGAAAAGCTCCGTTCACGGCTCCCCTTGCAAGGGTACAGAACCACAACGGGCCGGGGTGTCGAGCCCCGTCCGGCTCCCTCGGGTGTGGCTTCTTCCCAAGGAGCCTCGGAGGAGTTCTGCCACCCGACTGCCAGCGACCTGGAGCCCACGCTGATTCCAGCCCTCCGCCGACTCCACGGTTCGCGGAGGGGCACAAGAGCCGCGGCACCCGCCGGGGAAGCAGTCGCCGGACTGGAAATAGGAAGGAGGCTGAAGCCCCATCCATGACGCAGACTCCGAGAGAGGAGGCCGACCCGGACCCACAACCGGCTCAGAAATAACCCGGCTGCGGCCGCCTTAAGAGGCGAACCGGCTTAGACAAAGGCCCGGCGCCTGCGGTCGGCGCGCGGGGGAGGAGGAGCGGTGCCCGGCGCAGGCGCAGACGATCGCGGCCCCCGCCTCAGGCCGCCCGGCGGCCTCGCCTCACTCCCACCCCAGCCCATCGCCTGGTCGGCCGCTCTGACTCACCGTCCCGAGCCGTGCCCATGAGCTGGTCCAGCAGGGCCCGCATCTGCGCCTGGGCGGACATGGCAGCGGGCAGGGGCGACGGGGGCGGCCGTAACGGCGTGTCTCAGGGCGGCAGCGGCAGCAGCAGCAGCAGCAGCAGCGGCAACGGCGGCGACGAAAGATGGTCGCGTCGGCCTCGAGCCCACTCGGCTCTTTCCCGCCGCGGGGGACGCCGGGAGGAAGTGCGTCGGCTCCGGCGCACGGCCAGCTGGGAAATGTAGTTTCCGGGATGGGTGCTTGGGGAGGTTGAGGCTTTGAGGAGTCTGCTCAAGTTGTCCAACGACGGAACCAAAATCCCAAACCTGATTTTGGCTCTAGAGCCCCAGGATCTCAAACGATTCTCTGCGGAGGCAAAACTGCATCAAATGAAATGTAGTCAATCAAAAACAAGATAAATCCGTGCTGTTTCCAAGCTAGCCATGAAACCACGAGCACATTTAGCTCCCCGATACTTGGGGGTTTTTTGTTTTGTTTTTTTTTTTGAGACGGAGTTTCGCTCTTGTTACCCAGGCTGGAGTGCAATGGCACGATCTCGGCTCACCGCAACCTCCGCCTCCTGGGTTCAGGCACTTCTCCGGCCTCAGCCTCCTGAGTAGCTGGGATTACAGGCACGCGCCACCATGCCCAGCTAATTTTTGTATTTTTAGTAGAGACGGGGTTTCACCATGTTGACCAGGATGGTCTCGATCTCTTGACCTCGTGATCCGCCCACCTCGGCCTCCCAAAGTGCTGGGATTACAGGCGTGAGCTGGGATTAGTTGGTTTTTTAAATCTGTGAAATGAGGATTCTAAGAGTGCCCCTCATATGTTTTTTGTGAAAGTTAAATAAAGCATGGAATTTTATTATTAATTTTTTAATTTTATTTTTTTTAGCAAGGGTTTTGCTCTGTCGCCCAGGCTGTAGTGCAGTAACGTGACCACCATTCACTGCAGCCTCGACCTCCCCGGCTCCTTATCCTCCCGCTTTATCCCCACAAAGTGTCGGGATTATAGGTGTGAGCCACTGTGCCCGGCCATCAATCATGGCATTAATATTAGGTTCTATGATTACAACCTCGAGGTCGTTCCTCTGTGAGCTCCTGGCCTACCATCCCGGGGGCTAAGAAAAGGCATATGCAAGCAATTACTTTATGTGGTAATAGGATTATAGCATGCACTTATATGTGCATTATCTGGCATGTACTTCTATTATATTAAACCTTTATTACAAGCCGGGCTTCGTGGCTCATGCCTGTAATCCCAGCACTTTGGGAGGCTGAGGCAGGCGGACCACCTGTCAGGTGTTCGAGAGCAACCTGGTAGTCCCAGTTACTGGGGAGGCTGAGGCAGGAGAATCACTTGAACCCGGGAGGTGGAGATTGCAGTGAGCCGAGATCACACCATTGCATTCCAGTATGGGCCAGAAGAACGAAACTCCCTCTAAAAAAAAAAAAAAGACAAATTTTGTTTTCTTTGGTTTTGTTTGAGACAGGGTCTTGCTCTGTCACACAGGTGGGAGTGCCGTGGCACAATCTCAGCTCAGTGCAGCTTCTGCCTCCCCGGTTCAATTGATTCTCCCACCTCAGCCTCCCAAGTAGTTGGGACTATGGGTGCCTGCCACCACGCCTGGCTAATTTTTGTTGGCCAGGCTGCTCTCTAACTGATAGGCTTAAGTGATCCAACCCCTTCGGCCTCCCAAAGTGCTGGGCTAACAGGCTTGAGCCACCGCACCGGGCCTATAAGACAAGTTTCTTTTTTTGATTTTTTTCTTTTTTTTTTTTGAGATGGAGGTTTGCCCTTGTAGCCCATGCTGGAGTGCAACAGCGTGATCTCCACTGTCTGCAACCCCCATCTCCCGGGTTCCAGTGATTCTTGTGCCTCAGCCTCCTAAAGAGCTGGGATTACAAGCATGAGCCACTGTGCCTGGGCAACAAGTTTTAAATAATGTTCTGAGGCAACTGGGCACAGTGGCTCACGCCTGTAATCCCAGCACTTTGGGAGGCCGAGGCAGGCGGATCACGAGGTCAAGAGATCGAGACCAACCTGGCCAATATGGTGAAACCCCATCTCTACTAAAAATATAAAAAAATTAGCTAGACATGATGGCACGTGCCTGTAGTCCCAGCTACTCAGGAGGCTGAGGCAGGAGAATTGCTTGAACCCAGGAGGCGGAGGTTGCAGTGAGCCGAGGTCGTGCCACTGCACTCCAGCCTAGTGCCTGATGACAGAGTGAGACTCTATCTCAAAAAAAAAAAAAAATGTTCTGGCCAGGCATGGTGGCTCAAGCCTGTAATCCCACCACTTTGGGAGGCCGAGGCAGGTGGATCATGAGGTCAAGAGATTGAGACCATCCTGGTCAACATGGTAAAACCCCGTCTCTACTAAAAATACAAAAAATTAGCTGGACATAGTGGCACGTGCCTGTAATCCCAGCTACTCAGGAGGCTGAGGCAGGAGAATTGCCTGAACCCAGGAGGCGGAGGTTGCGGTGAGCCGAGATCGCGCCATTGCACTCCAGCCCAGGTAACAAGAGCGAAACTCCGTCTCAAAAAAAAAAAAATGTTCTGAGGCATGACTTTGCTTCCAAATGGCCATTTGAACAAGGGAATTAATTCATCTGAATTACATACTTACTAAACTGCCCCAGTTATTAGAAATCGGACAACTGCCAGGCACAGTGGTTCATGCTTGGAATCCCAGCACTTTGGGAGGCCAAAGCAGGAGATCACTTGAGCCCAGGAATTTAAGACCAGCCTGGGTAACATAGCAAAACCCCATCTCTACAAAAAAGTAAAAACACTAGCTGAGCATGGTGGCTTACAACTGCAGTCCTAGCTACTCTGGAGACTGAACTGAGAGGATCACTTGTGGCTGGGAGGCAGAGGTTGCAGTAAGCTGAGTTCCTGCCACTGCACTTGAGCCTGGGCGACAGAGGGAAATCCTGTCTTTTTTTTTTTTTTGAGGTAATCTCACTCTGTTGTCCAGGCTGCAGTGCAGTGGCGCGATCTCAGCTCACTGCAACCTCTGCTGCCCGGGGTTCAAGCAATTCTCCTGCCTCAGGCTCCCGAGTAGCTGGGACTACAGGTGCCCACCACCGTGCCCAGCTAATTTCTGTATTTTTAGTAGAAAAGGTTTCACCATGTTGGCCAGGACGGTTTCCATCCCTTGACCTTGTGATCTGCCCACCTCAGCCTCTCAAAGTGCAGGGATTGTAAGCGTGAGCCACCGCCCACAGCCTAATTTTGCGTTTCTACTAGAGATGAGGTTTTTCCATGTTGGGGAGGCTGATCTCGAACTCCCAACCTCAGGTGATCCGCCCACCTTGGCCTCCCCAAGTGCTGGGATTACAGAAGTGATCCACTGCACCTGGCCTTTTTTTTTTTTTTTTTTTTTTTTTTCTGAAACAGAGTCTTGCTCTGTTGCCCAGGCTGGAGTGCAGTGGCATGATCTCAGTTCCGGGTTCAAGCAGTTCTCCGGTGTCAGCCTCCCGAATAACTGGGATTACAGGTACGCACCACCATGCCTAGATAATTTTTGTATTTTTTAGTAGAGACGTGGTTTCACCATGCCGGCCAGTCTGGTCTCAAACTCCTGACCTCACGATCTGCCTGCTTTGGCCTTCCAAAGTGTTGGGATTACAGCCATGAGCTACTGTGCCCAGCCAAAATATTATTTTTAATAAATAGAGATGGGAGTCTCACTATGTTGCCCAGCGTGGTCTCAAATTTCTAAGGTCAAGCAATCTTCCTGCCTTGGCCTCCCAAAGTGCTGGGATTACAGATATGAGCCACCATGCCTGGCCTACAGTCATTTCTTTTTTTTTTTTTTCCTTTGACACAAAGTTTTGCTCTGTTGCCTAGGCTGGAGTATAGTGGTACAATCTAGGCTCACTACAACCTCTGCCTCCTAGGTTCAAGTGATTCTCCTGCCTAAACTTCCTGAGCAGCTAGGATTACAGGTGTACATCACCACGCCCGGCTAATGTTTGTCCTTTCAGTTGAGAAGAGGTTTTGCCACGTTGGCCAGGCTGGCCTCTAACCCCTGAGTTCAAGTCATTCACCTGCGTCGGCCTCCCAAAGTGTTGGGATTACAGACGAGAGCCATTATGCCTGGTCACAGAGTCATTTTTTTTAGAGTTTTTCTCTCCCATAGTGTTTGACTGCTGATGTCTCTGCTCATTTTTTAGGCTTTGTGGGGTTTTTTAATTTTAATTTTTGGGTCTGGCTTCCAAGGGATCATTCCTGGGTCAGCCTAGTCTGCTGGTCAACCAATAATTATTTAGATTTTGGACTCAAACACCTTAAAACACTAAGGTTTACACCCTTGCAGAATGATTTGTGTATGGAATAGGAAGTACATTAACATTTTAAGCTGTTTACAAGTCAGCCCCAGCTTTTTCTTTCCACTGGGCCTTCTCTTGGGTAAACTTTTCCAGGTGCAACTCTAGTTGATGCAGAGACCTGTCCATTAACAAAGCAAATTACCTTTCCTTCACACACTGAAGATAAATTGGATAACTTAAATACATACTCCCACCCAAAAATAGGGAAGATGGCCATGCACGACGGCTCTTGCCTGTAATTCCAGCACTTTGGGAGGCCCAGGCAGGCGGATCACTTGAGCCCAGGAGTTTCAGACCAACCTGGGCAACACAGTGAGACCCTGTGTCCAAAAAACAGGAAAAATTCAGCTGGGCGTGGTGGGGCCCACCTGTAGTTCCAGCTACTCAGGAGTGGAGGCAAGACGCTTGCTTAAGACCGAGTTCTAGTTATCCTGATCTGGGTGGGGATTCTTCTTTTTTTTTTTTTTTTTTATTTTTTATTTTTGAGACGGAGTTTCGCTCTCGTTACCCAGGCTGGAGTGCAATGGTGTGATCTCGTCTCACCGCAACCTCCGCCTCCTGGGTTCAGGCAGTTCTCCTGCTTCAGCCTCCTGAGTAGCTGGGATTAAAGGCACGCGCCACCATGACCA